GGGATGGGACAGTTCAGTCCATCTGGGCGACTGGTGACATTTGCAGTGAGTGCCAAGCTGTGTGGCCGGTGCTAGCAAGTCCTTGTGGTCTGTGTGTCCCTGACGTAGCCCGAGTGGTGGGCGCGTCCTGGGCCAGTAAGGTGCATCTCTAAGGTTCTCTCTCCAGTCCGGTTGGACTGTACCAGGTCTGGAGCCAGGACCCAGCCTGGCATCGTGGCTACTTCTCCTGGCTGACACCAATGCAGGGGTCGCGGGGGTTCAGGAAGGAGGCTGCCAGGTGGCAGGAGGGTTTTACCGAACGGGCACCACATTTTCTGTCTTTGAGCATTTCCAGGAGGTGGTTCATGTATATCTTTTGGAAAATGTATTCTGTCACCTCCATTATTGTTCGGCACAACAATAGTTGAAGTTGTATCACAAGGAGATGAAGAGACCCTCCTGGCCTCGGAGCAAGTGTAACTGTGGTGCTTTTATTTAAAGTGCCCGTGAGCTTGAATTCACCTCGTTCCTAAAAATAAGCTGCGGAGATGAGATCCGCCCTTTGAGCGAATCAGAGCAACTTAGGAAATAAAAATGCCTCGGCCACATGCCCCTCCGGCCGGGCGTGCTGCTTCGCTTGGGAACATGAGTCCACAGGACAAAGGTGACCCCGTCGTCCTGCGAGCTGACAGGCGATGAGCACATTTACTGTAGAATGGAACGGAGAAGTTGAGAAGTGACAAGGACTCGAATGGACGCGACGGACCCCACACCAGGCGTCTCTGAATGAGTTTGGGGGAAGTAGGATTGTCTTCTCCAACTGAGTGCTTTAAGGACGTCTACATTGTTGGGCTCTTTATGCTACTTGGCAAGGAAGAGAACGTGTCAAATGTACAGCCTCTTTATCTAAAGAAAATAGGAAAACAGACGAGCTAAACCCACCGAACCAGGTCTTGTGGGCTGAGCTGCACCCCCGAGAGCGTGAAAGGACACGCCTCCCAGAGGTCCCGGGCGCACCGCTCCCCAAGCAGGACATCCCCAGGCCTCCCAGCCAGGGGGAGCGAGCACCTTCTGCAGGACTGTCCATGGAACGCCCACCGGTTTCTGAAGTTACAGCCAGGGGACCAGTGTCAGAGGGTGTGAGAGAGACAGGCCTTCTCAGGACGCATCTGGTGTTCACGCGCTGAGTGCTGGTACCTGCACTCTGCGCCCCACTCTCTCTTCCTTCGTGGGGTGCAGACGAAGGGGGATGCCTCCTGTGCAAGCGGAGGCCTGGACGTCTCCGTCCTCGCTGCGCAGCTCTTTCCACCCACAGGGGTGGCTGGTCACAGACGCCATCAGGGCAAGAGAGTCGCCGGGTTCTCAGGTCTAGGCCCCAGGCATCCCTGACGCACGAAAAGGAATTTTAAACCAACAGCATACTGACCTTCGGGTCATGCACCCAGCGCTGATGGTCAGAGCAGCCCCATAAGTGTGCCAGGCGCTTGCCTGGTGCCAGTCTCCCCTGGGGCCCCCGGGCATACAGAGACCCCGCGTGCAGTCCCTGCTGGAGACATGGTCAGTGGCTTGGCCTGTGCCAGGCAAGTAGGTGTGGGAGCCCCAGAGGGGCCTCATCCACTCGATGTGTGGGCAGGCCCGGTGCAGGGAAGGCCTTCTGGACGTGGATTTCAAAGGGTGAGTGGGAATGTGTGGGGTGAAGTCTCCCAGGCAGAGAGGACTTTGAGCACAGGTGAGAGGATGGATGAAATTGAGTTTGAAACTGGAGCCGGTTAAGTGGGGCGGGGGCTATGCCAGCAGTTCCCGTGGAGGGCACCCTGCAGTCAGCGCTTATTAAAGAAATTCACAGCAAATAGCAGCAAATCAATCAGCTTGAATCTCGGATTCACCCCCAAATACGTGACTTATCTGGCAGGTTCCACTAACAGCCGCTGCTCTTTATTTTCTTAAAAAACACACAAAAATTTATCTCTGGATTGGAATGAATGTTTCAGAAACAAACGCGGCCTGCCTGCAACACCAGCCCCGTGTGACTAACACCAGGTGGTGACACCCTTCCACACAGCCAGGAAGTTCAAAGCCGGCGCAGACCAGGGCCCGCGTTCCTGCGGTTGTCGTCCCTCCGCGTGGCGGGCCCTGTGTTTGTTATTCGGCTCTGCGCGTGCGAAGGAGACATTCCTCAGACCGCAGAGCTTGCTTCTTTGCAGACAGATGTGTCCTTTAGATGCTCTTGGTGAGCAAGCACGATGGGTAGCAATGGCTGCTGCTTCCGTGTGTCTTCAGTGTCCAGTTCCAGGAGCAACGTGGTCTTTCATGAACAGATTGTGGCCACTTGAAAGCTCAGGACCAAGTCCTGCTCTCACGGACCTCCATCTCCAGAACGTCTCATCTTCAAACAGAAACTCTGCCCGTTAGAAACGACCCGTCCTAAGCCCGTCCCCTCCCTGCCCGTCTCTGTGACTCACGGTACCTCCTGCAGGTGGGGTCACACGGTGTCTGAGCACAGGGTCCCCCGGCCTCCCTCCCGCGGTCGCATGTTGCAGAGCCTCCTTTCTTCTCGGGCCGAGGAAGACTCCGTGTGTGTTGTCACATGTCGCGTGTCTCCTCGTCCTTCAGTGGGTCTTTGGGGCGCTTCCCCGCGGTGGCTGGTGTGGGTGTTGCTGCTGTGAACATAGGTGTGCAGATGCCTGTTTGCGTCCCTGCTGTCAGTGATTCTTCCCCTTGTGCCCCCTCCCCGCCCCCAAAAAAACACACAAAAAAGCTGCAGGGCACTCTGTAGGCCCTTGTTGAGTTCCTGGCTGAGAAGGCAAACCTGGGAGTCGGGCGTTGGTGCCTCTGCTCACTGCCTGATGTGACCAGGCCTGGAGCAGACCCCGCACCCTCTCTGCTCGCAGTCTCCCTGTCTGCGCTGAGGGCGTCCCTCCCGCTCCGGCTCCACCCTTAGGTGAGTGTGTGAGACGTTCTGCACAGCCCTGCAGTCGCTGGCCTCGCCTGGCTCCTGTTCTTTGGTGGAACTGGAAGGGGCGGGCCCTTGGCATGAGCAGAACTGTCATTCTCACCTCTGAGTGCCCTGAGCGCCCTGACAGCCAGGCACATGGAAACCTGCCACTCGGCGTGAATTAACCTCCCACGGAGGCGGAGCTGCGAGTCTCCTGGCCACCAGCTGCCCCCCGCCAGGTGCTGGCTGCTCTCATCCTTGTGGTGGCTTTTATGAAGGGTTAGAACTTTGGTGAGTGTGTGGGGGAGGGGGAGAGGGTGGGAGAGAGAGGGAGAGAGGGAGCGGGAGAAAAGCTGGGGAGAGGGAGAGAGGGAAGAGGGGGCAGAGAGGGAGTGGGGCGGAGAGGGGGAGAGGGAGGGGGGAGAGAGCTTCCATGGAGAGCTGCTGCTGGGGCGATGGAGATAAAGGGGAGGAGCCTGAGACGCTGCGGTGCCTACTGAGCGGACTGGAGAGTAGCCCATGTGACGCCCCAGTGCAGGCGCATTGGCTCTATGTTCTCTGCAGAACAAGACAAGCCTGACTGCGAAGCGCCAGCGAGTCAGCCGCAGAACGTGCTCCGGGAGATGAGATGTGGAGCCGCCTGAGAGCCGCAGGGAGAAGGCGGCCATGACGCCTCCCAGAGAGCAGAGACGGCAGAGGCCCCAGTGTGGCTACTGAGCCGCCTTACGCTCACGTAGGGCTGGTGTGACCATGGAAGATGTGTTTTTCTTGGCAAAAGAAGCAGTTAATCGGTACAAGCAGGCCGGCCGTCTACCTCGGAGCAGGCGAGGTTTTTCCAAAGGGAAAGGAACTCACAGGGAAACAGGAGTCCCAGGCTGTGACCTGCAGGCGCGAGGAGGCGTCCGCTCCTGGCTTATTCTCAGACTTTCTGTTGAGATGGCAAACGGCGACAGTGACTCAGTAAACGCACTTTCCTCCTGACCATGGGCTGCAGCCCCGAGAGGCCTCGGTGACAGCGTACGTCCCTCCGTGGGGGGGCGCCTAGCACAGCCTCCTGCTGCTGCTTTTTTTAATGCTCTTATTGATTTCAGAGAGGAAGACAGGGAGAGAGAAACACCGATGATGACGGAATCGCCGATCCGCTGCCTCCTGCTCGCCCCACACTGGGGATCGAGCCCGCAACCTGGGCCTGTGCCCTGACCGGGAATCGAACCCTGACCTCCCGGTTCATAGGTGGATGCCTGACCACGGAGCCAGCGGGCATGCAGCCTGCTGCTTTCTTGTTCTTGCAAGAAAGCCAGCCCTGAGGGTGACTTCCCCTGGACGCTGTTGGGCAGGTTCTGGGGGACATCTTTTCCTGAGCAGACGTTCTCCGTGTTGACAGGGCCTTTGGTTCACATACAGGCACTGCAGGGTCCTGTTACCGACGTTCCTCAGAGACTTTTCTGTAATTTCTAGCTCAGATGTGGGAGTGCCCCCCTCCCGCCGGCTTCTGTGTTTGCAAATAGTTAATGATCTAATTGCCTGTTTTCCTCCAATGTGTGACATGAGCCCAGAGACAGAGGCGCCACTAGGCAGGGAGGCGGGGGCTGCAGCAAAGGCAGGACACAGACGTGTTGTCCGGAGGACCTGGGACGGTCGTGGCCCCGCTGACCTGGGTTCACCCGGAGGAGATGGAAACGAGTGCTCTGCTCTGCCCCCCCCGGGCCGGGGGGGGGGGCGCGGGGGGTGAGCCCCCGAGGGGGGCTGCCCTGCCGCCTCTTTTGACCAGTTTGGGAATGAAATGCTTCTCTGTAGACGCCCACCTCTAACACAGACAGGTTTTAGCTTTTCCCACCCAGTGCTTTTCTCAGAGGCAACACTGACTACAGGCACTGGGCGTGGGGTGGGGTGACGGGGAGGGGAAGGACCTGGCCCAGCAGGCGCTCGGCTTGTGAAGGGCTCGGAGAAGGTTCTGGAGTCCCGTGCTGGCGCTGACGGCCTCTGTTGGGCTTCTCTCTGCAGGTGGCCACAGCTGGCTCCTCAGTGCTGCTGTTCGAGGGTGTCCTGACCAGGGCGGCCGTGGGATGGTGAGTCTGAAAGTGGATGTGGGTTCTCCAGGTGCTGCTTCTGCTCCAAGTGCCACGGGAAGGGCGAGGCGTGGGCACGGGCATGCAGAGGCGTGTGTGGCATGAATGCAGCGTGATGGCTGTTCCTGCTGGGTACACCCTCCCCGTGCTGAGCAGCCGGAAACACAGAACACGCCGCCCCTTGCGCCCTCGTCCGCACAGGAGTGAGCACGGTGGGCAGCCATGGCGACGTGTAAAGCTATGTGGGTGTCTTTACTCCTTCAATCCATTTGCTCTCCGACAAGCTCCGACCATCCTTGTGTAGAAGGACCCGCCCTTTCCCGGGAGACAGCACTGCCTCTCGGTCACCTCTGAGCAGAGACCTGAGGAGTGAGTCGTGGGGTTCGCGGGGGGGGGCGGGGGGTGGGGACGGGACACGGCAGCGTGTGCAGAGGCCTGCAGTGCAGGGTGCTTGGTCAGCCTGAGGGGCTGTGACCAGAGAGCGGTAGGAGGGAGGCTGGAGAGGCAGCTGACCACATGGGATCCACCTGAGAGGAGGGGAGGCCAGGACTGAGCCGCACTCCCTGTGCCCGTCTGAGGCTCACTGTCGAGCAGGCGGAGCGAAGACCAGCCGAGGCTCCAGCAGTGATCTCGCAGGCAGCCCTGGAAGCGGGGGGCTGGTCGGACCCCTGCATGTGCTGGAGTGAAGGCCGTGGGGTTGGAGAGGGAGGGAGGCGGGATGACGTGCACGCTCTGGCCCGAGTAGTAGAGAACACACAGTGCCACTCGCTGAGATGGGGAGTCAGAGGGGAGCGCAGGGCTGCAAGTTGGGGTGCAGGATTCGTGACGGCTGGATGCCCGTTCCACCTGAGCGTCGAGGTCTCAGAAGGCAGGTGGCTCGAGGCCTGGCGGTCAGGAGAGGGGAGGAAAGGGTGTGAGTCCGAGTCACGGAAGCAGCCTGTGCGGTTATTGCCAAGGAACCTGGGCTTCGGGAGTTCCTGGGTTTTGGGTGTAAGGAGGGTGTGTTTTCAGCCGCCAAGAATTTTCCAAGCGCAGGGTGAGCCCCAGAGGAGGAGCGGCAGGCAGACTGGCCTCAGCATCTGCCTCCTGCGCGGAGCTGTCTGCAGTCTCCACGTGCATTGTCTTCAATGAGACTGGGGCCCGGCTGGCAGCCCCGGGCGGGCGGGCTGGTCTCTGCCCCTGGGGCCCGGCTGGCAGCCCCGGGCGGGAGGCTGGTCTCTGCCCCTGGGGCTCGGGCTGTCACAGCCCAGAAGGCAAGGCCTGGTAGTGATTGTTCTGTTTCCTGTCTTTCAAATTTTAGTCGACATTCAGAAATCAGCTGATTTCCCCTGGAAGCCCAGATCTCTGGATTCTTTTGAGAATGTGGAAGAGCTGCTGTGTGGCCTGTACGTCCACGGTAGCCGCTGCAGGAGTGGGTAGAGGCTGCCCCTCCGTGGACGTGGGCCCGGCCGTCAGCGTGGCCCCCAGCTCCAGGCTGGGACGGGCCGGAGCGCCTCCAGGGCAGGAGCCAGGCCTTCGTCACCGTTGCCTGTCCCACCCGGTCTGAGTAAACGAGTGCCCAGCCTTTTAAGTACACACTCAAGAGAAATTATAACTCTAAGGGCCAGTGTCACTCAATGTCCAGCTAATGATCTTGTTTTTAATTTTATAAAAACAATCTGTGGCAAGCCCAATAACTTAACATATCCAGGTTAATATTTACTCTTTTTTGTTGTTAATCCTCAATTGAGGATTTTTTCTATTGATATTTTTACAGAGAGTGGAATGGAGGAAGGGAAGGAGGGGGAGAGAGAGAGAAACATTGATTGGTTGCCTCCCACATGCACCCCAACTGGGGCTGGCATCGAACCTGCAACCCAGGTACGTGCACGTGACTCAGAATTAAACCCGTGACCCTTCAGTGTGCAGGCTGACGCTAACCATGGGCCACACCGACCAGGGCTAAGTATTCATTTTTTAATTATCAGAGTTTTAGGGGAGGTATTGATAGGCATTCCCTCTTCCAAAATTCAGCAAAGAGGGTTTAATCCTTGCCCTGTTGAGTGGGAGAGTCCCTCTTGTCTTTGGGACGGTGCTGGTTTGAGGAGAGAAGGGAGTGACCAGACAGCCACCATCTGCTCTCAGCGCTCAGCCCTCAGCCCTCGCCTTGCTTGCCCTCCCTGACCCGCCATTGACCGGGGGTGCCCGGTGTGGGCATCACGCAGACTTGGTCCTGGCACAGGCCTCCTGGCACCAGCGTCCTCACGAGTGACCGCATCTCGTCTTTGAGTGAAGATGCCGTTTGCCTTCAGCTCAGGGCCAGCATGGCGACTGCGCGTCGGTTACAGGAAGAATGGATTCAGGGTAAGGGGAGCTTCTCCCCGAACTGCACACTGCATCCAGGGTCGTGGCCCCGGAACTCACCGTCTCCCTCTGGGTCGCGCATGGGAGCCTCCCCTTTAAATGCTCACAGGGCCTGCTGTCTCCCTCACGGCCTGGCCCGCGGAGGCGCACTGTCCCTCCCAGTTCCCCGAGGAATGGTGCCTTATGTCAGGCACACACATTGGTGAGGAAACGAGGGAAAACAAAATAGTTTGAAATATCGATGGGAAAGGGGAGCGTTTCATCTGTTGATGGAAGACGGCCCCAAACCAGAGAAGGCTTCACAAGAGTTTATTTGAGCCAAATGTGGAGGATGCGCCCAGAAGCAAGGTCGTGACAGACTGAGGAGATGCCCGAGAGCAGCCGTTTCCGCTCCCTCATGCGTCCGAGTCCAGGGGGGACAGAGGGAAGGTCCTGCCTCCTTGGCGGGAGGTGAAGGAGGCGGAGAAGCAAGGTGGGAACTGGGAATGCTCCAGGTGGGTAAGAGCAGCAGGAGTAACAGCCTCCCTACGGGTGGGGACAGGGACTTGGTAAGGAGCAACTCCCGCCCCTGGAGACGGCGTTGGGGGCACAGGCGACCGTGGGGTCTGTGGGGTCTGCTCGGTGCCTGTGCCGTTGAGGGGTCTCGACAAGGAAATCACTCTGGTTTCCAACGGCGTGTTGTTTGGATGCGTAAGGACAGGGAGGGCCGCTGAGGGCCAGCACGGCCTTGCCCAGGGCTCTGGGCGGGGCTGCCCAGTCAGCGTTTGCGATCAGACCATCCCATGCGGTTGCTGATGGCCACTGAGCGTGTGCGGCCTGCGTGCGCCCCCGAGCGTGTCAGGTTCATGACGGAGCCCTTTTCACTCACATCACCCACCGAGGAAATGTTTACCGGGTACGACCTGAATGCGGGCTGCAGCGGGAAAGGGGTGGCCGCTCTGTCCTCCGCCCGGCGGGTTCCGTTGGGATTCACTGAATAACCACAATAATAAGCAAGTGAAAACCGAGATGGGCCTGGCTCCCGATGGGAGAGAAGGGAAGGATGGACTGGGAGACGATGGAAACAGCGGCCGGAGCACGGTGGGTGGGTTTCTGGCTGGCGCTCTGCAGCCTGCGTAAGTCAGACGTTTGTTCGCTCCCCTGTGACTGAGGAGGATCCGTGGAAACAGAAAACAGGGGGCGGGGTGGGGTGGGCCTGGAGACATCACCAGGAGTAAAACCCCCCAAACCCAGAGTCGGGCAGCCTCCCCTCAGGCACAGGCCCTGCGCTTGCCCGGAGTCGGTGGCGGGCGCATCCTTTACGGGAGGCTGAAGGGAGCAGCAGGCCTTTTCTGGGTGAACAGAAAAGCCAGGTCATCTGTGATGTGCAGTGAATCTAAACGAAACGGGTTCAGAGGTCGTCACCTTAGCAATTCTGCGATAGGGACCCCTTGAGACTCCATGGCATCAGCCCCTTTAGCAGACGGCCCGGCAGCTCCGTGGGGAGCCCTCCCGCGGTATTTCCTCCAGAGCGTGACCCAGGCACAGTCTCATACACACACACACACACACACACACACACACACACACACACACACCCCACCCGTCAGGCCAGTGGACACAGCCCCTCTTCCACCTTGCAAACCGCCCCCCCCAACCTCAGCTCAGGGGGACTTGGCATGATTGGCGGTTCCTGGGCCTGACCTGGAAGTGGGGTGGAGGGAGCCCCCACGGCAGAACCAGGGGCATCTCTCGGCGCCCGGCAGCCTCCTGACCTCTCCATTCCTTTGCAGCCTCCTGCTCGGCGGCCTGGGAGAGGCCTTGCTGCTTTTCTCAGAGAGGAGGGGCGCCCCGAGATGACGAGGTGACGATGGAAAGGGAGATGGAACGGGGCCCGGCGTGGGAGCAGACGCCCGGCTGCGGAGCTCGGACGGGGGTGAGGAAGCCCAGCACCGCTGGGGGCCGCTTCCCCTGCGCCAGGAGCTCCCGGGTCTCTGCTGCAGAGAATGGACCGGTGCCTCTTCCTCGAGAGGCTCGCCTGAGCCCCACCTCTGGGTGTGCGGACGCCCCGTGGAGGCGCCGCTCACCAGCCTGCATGCGGCCGCTGCTGGAGCCGGCACAGGCGCTGCTCTCCCTGCTCAGCTCCGTGGGGGCCGCCCCGGCCTTTGGGGTTTGGTTTGTGTGTTTACATCTTCGGAGCCTCTGGGGCATGCATCCCTTCCTCGCGCTTGTGTGGGCTGGTCCGAGCCTCACCCACCCACTCACGGGGATCCCTCCCGAGGGCGTCCATGGCTTGGCCGTGAGAAGCCAGCAGGGGCCATCGCCCCAGAGCGGGTGCCAAAGACCTGACGTGTGCGTGTTCCTTCTGTTGGGTTGTTCATATTAAGTTCACACTTTTTTTTCGCTCACCATTCAGTTAACCTGACACGAAGCGATCACCACAGCAAAGAGGTGGATAAGCCGAGGGTGTCCTCCTGGGCAAGGGAAAAGAAACAGGCGTCTCACATGGACACACACCTGTTATAGTCACTTCCTAAAGCTCTGAATCCACTCGTTCCCCATATCTGAGGAGGTTCCAGCCTTTGAACACAAGTATACTTTTCAGGCCAATTAAAGGTTGGATTAAAGCACTAAACTGTGCCTCAATGGGACTCAAAAGAAATGAATTTGCATGAAACGGTTGTTTGATTCTGAGCCCACAGTGAAGGTTTAGGGAAACAGTGCTGAATCCACGTCTCTGCTCAGAGGAGGTGTGTGACTCCTCACCTCTGCCGGTGTCGGCCTGGGGCCCTTGGAGATGCAGGAGGGCAGGACCACCCCCCCCCGTCACCATGGGAGCCCCCCCAGGTCGCCATGGAGACCCCCCTAGGTTGCCATGGGAGCCCCAGCCCCAGGAAGGCTCCTGCCCACCCTCCGCCCAGGAGGAACAGGTTGGGCATGGCCATTCCTTCTGCGTGTCCCTCCGACACGGTGAGGAAAGGCGGCAGGAATGGGTCTGTACACGTGGAGTTTGAGTGCCTGTCCTTGCTGGTCTCTGCTGGCTGTCCAGGTAGTCGGTTTCCTCTGACCCTCACCGGGATGCCGGCCGTCTGCGGATGGAGGATCAGATGGAAACCCGGGTTCAGAGTCTTGTTCTTTTGCTCCACGAGACTCTGTAACCGAGGCCACTTCTCTGCTGTTCGTGGAAAGAGGCGTCTGTCCAAGGGTCGCCGTGTGTCTCCCGTGGCGTCTGCGGAGAATGGGAGGCTCCTGGAGCTGAAAGGGCCCCATCCCAGCAGGACGGACCCCACGCACTTGGGCGGCAAAGCTGTAGACCTTTTTATAAAAGAGTCTCCAGCAAGAGTTTCTGTTGTTTGAGCTTTACCCTCATGTTCCAGAGTCCTGTTGTTTTTAAAAATCTGATTTCTTGCCTTGACGTCAGCCAGAGGTGGCCTGCAGGGTGGGCCCGGGGTCTGTAAACCAGGGGCCCCTCCAGGCACCCAGGCCCCCTCACCCGAAGGACCCGTGTGCTCACTCCTCTGGATCCTGGTCCCTGAGGCCTCGGTGGCTGCGAGTTGGAGGGTTTGTTTGTACAAAGAATATGCTTTGTGTCGAGAGGCGTGTTACTGACCTGCTGTGGCCGTGAGGAGGTAAACCTGGCGTTGGCCTGTATTTGTGGGTGATTGGCTTCTCTCCTCTGCAGCCCCAGCAGGAGTCACCCTGGGAGGGAGCCCTCCCTCTTTCATGAGTTCTCACCTGATGACACTCTTTCCAAGGATTTTCAGACGGAGGAAGAGAGGGTGGAAGTAGCCGTCCCCTGCCCAGCCCCAGCCCCTCCCTGGCAGTGGGGGTGGACCCCAGAGGAGCACGCAGCCCCTTAGCCCCCCCCTGGCTGCATGAGAGGCCCACGGGGCTGGCCAGGGCACGGCCACTGCTGTCCGTCTTCACCCTGGCACGGCCTGCACCTCGGGGAGCGTGGGCCCTGGAAATCCGGGGACTTAGTCCAGAGTCACACGACAAGTAGGAGGCGGGGGGTGGGGGGCTGCTTAGTAACAGGGCACCAAGTCAGAGCTGGGACCCCAGGGGCTGTCCCAGGCTGCCCGCACTCTGGCCAGTGGCATCCTTCACTCCTTCATTGGTCGCCATCCTGGCTCTGGCACCACTCACCGCGTGTCCACGGCTTCTGCGTTGTCTCCAGCAGAGCGGCCGCCATCCTGCGGGAGCCGAGTGGCCGGTCCTCAGGTTGGTGAGCTGCAGGCAGACCGCCCAGCGGGAGGTGCTGGACGTTCATGCGATCGCAGACCTAAAGCAACGCACATCCTGCTCCCAGGGAGGCCTGGGCCTGTGAGAAGACCCAGGGATCGAAATTAAAAATCACATAAATCAACCACTCTATTGAGATACAACTCGTGCCTGAAAGTGCACCCAGTCCACGCAGACAGTCCAGTGGTTCTTAGTGCCTTCACAGTGTGCTACAGCCATCACCACCGCCTCCTTCAGCGCATTTCATCCCCCTCCGCCCCTCCCGCTGACCAGGCAGCGCGCGGTCCACTCTACAGACCACGTGGGATCGTGCCCACGTGGCCTTGTGTTGAACTCGGGTTTAAACCTTCACTTGCCAGCTCCGTGGTGAAGATGGGCCTTTTTAGAGCCGACACAGGGAAGCGCCCAGCGTTGGCACCACGCCTCCCTCCCTTTTCATCCCCCACCGTTTCCTCCTCTGACAGCTTTTTACCTCATTCGTGTCTGCCTCCCACCCCTGCGGGCCCCCCAACCCCCCTGCCACCCCTGCAGCCGCCGCACAGGAAACCTCCTCCCAGTCCTTTAAGTCTTTGAAGTCGTGTGAGTCCCGATTCACAGTCTGTGTCCTCAGGTCCCACCCTCAGCACTCTCTCTCCCACACCCCACCCCGCTGTGGCCTGGCCAGCTGTCCTCCTGGGCCCTTGGGGCGGAGCTCTGGCCCCTCTGGGAGAGGGGAGACCCTGGGGCGCCCCCTCCGCCCCCCCCAACCCCTTTACTTGAAGGACTTCTGTAGCTGGACAGACACCACCATCAGGTGACAGAATGGCCTGGCTCAGCCCTGCCTTGCTCCCCAGCCCAGCCTCCTCTGCAGCCGCTGACTGTGGGGGTGGAGGGGGACCCCCAAAGGCTCCAGGCCCTGACGGGTTAGGGGAGGCCAGAGCGGAGGAGGGAGGCCTGGCTGTAGGCACTGACCTGGAAATGTCTGAGGGAGAAAGGATTCAGCAGCCGGGCAGTAAGCAGCTTTATTGGCTGTTGGGAGAATGGGAGGACGGGACCCTCACCCCAATTCCACATCAGCGAGGCAGTGTCTGTGGTGTGTGTGGGGAGGGGTGGGTGTAGCTAAGGGCTCACCCCAGAAGGGCCTGTGGGGTGAGGAGGGAGCCATGGCAGGGTCTGTTGTTACCCCCCCCCACCAGGAACATGCGTGGCTTTGGGGGGCGTCCTGCTCAGGTTTGACGGGAAAGGGGAGTGTGGCGGCTACACAAGTGTCACTGGGCTGCCGGGGCCGGGGCCAGGGCAGGTGCTGGGGGCAGGCCAGCCCCTCCCAGGGCACAGAGCAGGCCCACCACCTTCTCCCAGGGGCGCGGTGCATTCCCCCCACCTCTCACCTGACAAAGCAGCGAGGAGCCCTGGGACCCCAGGACAGTCTGGGGAAACAAGTCAGGCCGAGAGGCCAGTGCTGCCCCGGAGCATGGGGTGGGGGGTGGGGGCTGCAGGGAGCCGAGGAGGCGGCAGGGCAGGGCCTCAGGGGCTAGACCAGTGGTCCCCAGCCTTCTGGCCACGCCCCCTAAGCATCTCTAACATCCTGATGCCCCCCCCCCGACCTGACATATAATTGTTATTATTCAAAAAGCGAGCTCCTATTCACGTGGAGGGAGCCTAAAAGGCCATGAACTTGGTCTAAACAAGCTTCCAAGCAACATGGCATCCACAAAAGAGAAAAATAAAAGCACGCAAGGACAGTGGAAGTGCTGAGAAAGACATCACTAGAAATTGTTAAAATAATATGAAGTGATATGAGAAAATAGCAAATAAAGTTTCGAAACATAATAGAGAACTGAAATGCATAAATATATCACAATCTATATGCTGTATAGGAGGCCCCTAGACCCATAAGAAATGCAAAAAGCTCACTGTTAATACTCATTCTCGAATCGCCCCCCTTAAAAGTCAAACTGCCCCCTGTGGGGCGTGTGCCCACGTTGGGAGCCACTGGTCTAGAATGTGCTGAGTGGCCTCGTCCTGACCCCTTCCAAGCCCAGGGCTGAGGCCGTGTCTGAGACGCACCCACCAGACTCCTGAGCGGCTCTGGCAGCGAGCGCCCCCTCCCCCAGCCCCCTCTTGGCTGTCTTTCCCTCGGGGTGACGTACAGATGGTCTCATGCTATGGACAGACCTCTGGACACACATCTTTCATCCCCCCCGCAACTAAATTCAACTCGAAAGCCCCTCACTCACAGCCCACAGGCCACAGCAGTGTGAGACTTGAGTCTTTTGAACCAAAGGACCAACAATGTGTAGAAGGAAATGATAACACCAAACAAGCCCACACCCGGAGCATCCGCTTCCCCCCTCGGCTGGGCCAGGGCCTGTCACCCATCAGACATTCCAGGCTCAGTCCGAGGTTGGGGGGGGGGACATGGCCCTGCCTGGCAGAGGCTTCCCGCTCCCCAGGCCTCTGGGGGATGGGGGGGCCGAGAGCCAGGGCCACTTGGGAGCTGGGGGAAGACACGGGGAGAGCAGGGCCCAGGGCATGTGGGGCCTCAAGGGATGGAGACGCTTGGAGCACTGGGCTCCTTCCCAGATCTGCCTCACCCGCTGCAGGGCCCTAAATCTTAGCGGGTCCAGCCAGACCCTCCACAAAATCCCTTACACACACTCCAGCAAAGGGAACATTCAGCAACTGCTTAGCGCCGAACACAGCCAATCGGGAGCCTCCTGTTTACTCTCTAGCGGCACCAGAACCTCTGACCTGTGCCAGCAAGTTCGGTCCAGGCCACTAGGAAGGCTGCGCCCAACCCCCACTCGCCAACCCTGCCCTGGAGATGTGAGAGGCTTCGCTTCCTGTGTGAGGTCTGCAGTGGGAACGGCGGCAGGAGCATCAGTGATGCAGGGCGGGGTGACCACTGAGACACGTGTGTACACAGACACACACACACACGTAGACACACACACGTAGACACAGACACACACACGGATATAGAAACAATAAAATACTTTAATTCTCTTTACACGGCCACAGGCATTCCCCTTGGGCGGACCTTGGTGGGCACGTCTCTCGGGCTTTAAGGTGAAGACGTGGTGACTACAGGCGGTGAATGCAGGTTGGTCACGTACAGGTAGTCCCAGCCGTCAGCACAGCCCGAACACAGGGGTGAGCTCGCCGCCTCTCCAACGGGCACAGGCTCAGCCCGAGGCAGCTGGTGCCAGGGGCTAAAAGCCTCTGGTATGAGCCGTGTCTTACCCTTGTTCTGATTTTATAAAACACGGTGACGTATGTACATACAGCACAACAAAGTGCCTAGCGTGCACTCTAACATAGAGCACCGGGCCCAGTGCGGGGCGCTGCCCCGCCGGCCCCATGGGCAAGGGCGGGTGAACACCTGCACGGAGGTCGGAGGCAGGAAGGTGCGGAGCCGCCAGCACCCTTCCCGCGGGACCCCAACACGAGGACTGGCTCTTGTCCCGTGGGGGGCGGAAGCGACAGAAGCCAGGTCTTTATCTGGGGGCACAGCTGTCAGACCACCTGGTACTGAGAGAGCGATGGCTACTCAGAGTTCTCCAGAAACCACCATCAAGGCCAGCCTGGCTCATGGCCCTGGGCGAGGGGTCCCAGGCGAGGAGTCCCAGGCGAGGGGTCCCCAGGCGAGGAGTCCCCAGGCGAGGAGTCCCAGGCGAGGGGTCCCCAGGCCAGGAGTCCCCTGGTGAGGAGTCCCAGGCGAGGTCTGTGCTAAGGGGGCAGGGCTGGCTGGGGCTCAGGGCTGAGGCAGCATCTCTCAGACACACTGACACTCACGCAGGCACACACCCCCGGGGACAGTGCCCTCCAACAACTGGTAGAGAGACACCCTGGCACCCTCTTCTGACCCTGCGAGGGCGTCTTTGTAAAGCTTCCCTCCACATGTCCACGCTGTCGTCCCTGCTCTGCTCTGGCTTGACGCTCAGACGTGGCGTGGGTCTGGAGAGTTCTGGACCGGCCGGCAGGTCTGTGTGTGCCCGGGAGGAGAACTGGGGGGGTTGGGGGGGGCCGTAAGAACTCTTGCTGGTGGACAGCCCAGAGGGCCACCGTGTCTTCCGCCCAGGCCTCCCCTCCCCCGGTGGGTAGTCACAGCTCCCAGGGACTCTCAGCCAGCAGACCAGGCTCCTGGAAAGGTCCCCGGCAGCCTCTGCACAAGCACGTTGGGAGGAGTCCTGTGTGCTGAGCTCCAGCAGTGGCGTGGCTCTTCCACTGGGGGAAGCCTCCGGCCCCCGGGCCTGTGCTAGGAGTTCCACCAGCACCAGGAAGCACCCAGCCCTCGGGCCTGTGCTAGGAGCTCTGCTGGCACCAGGAAGCACCCAGCCCTCGGGCCTGTGCTAGGAGCTCTGCTGGTACCAGGAAGTGCCCGGCCCTCGGGCCTGTGCTAGGAGCTCTGCCGGCACCAGCAAACATCCTGGCCTCCGGGCCTGTGCTAGGAGCTCTGCTGGCACCAGCAAACATCCTGGCCTCTGGGCCTGCGCTAGGAGCTTTGGACCAGGCGTCTGTAATGGGGCATGACCTCGTGCTCCGGCAGGTGAAGGGCAAATTCCAAGGCCACCAACACCGGGAACTCGAAGGCGATCAGCTCTCGTCTGCTCACCCGGAACTTCTCTTCCAGTTTCTGCAACAGAAAGAGAGAAACCCAAAGGCACGTTAGTGTTAAAGACCGAAATCCCAGGCTTTCTCCACGTGTGACGCCTCTACCCACCGCCAGGGAGGTTTACAGAGAAACGGATGGTGGGCAAGGCCGTGGAGCAGCTCAGGAGCAGAGGGAGTTCTCGCGACGGGACTAGTGCTGTGGAGTGTGGGCACTGGCTGTGGCGAGGGGCACTTGTTATGGCGTATGGGATATTGGCTGTGGCGTGTGGGTACTGCCTGTGGTGTGTGGGGCACTGGCTGTGGCATGTGGGGTACTGGCTGTGGTGTGTGGGGTACTGGCTGTGGCATGTGGGCACTGGCTGTGGCGTGTGGGTACTGGCTGTGGCGTGTGGGTATTGGCTGTGGCGTGTGGGGTATTGGCTGTGGCATGTGGGTACTGCCTGTGGTGTGTGGGTATTGGCTGTGGCATGTGGGTACTTGCTGTGGCGTGTGGGGTACTGGCTGTGGTGTGGGGGTACTGGCTGTGGCATGTGGGCACTGGCTGTGGCGTGTGGGGCACTGGCTGTGGTTTTGGGGGCACTGGCTGTGGTGTGTGGGGTATTGGCTGTGGCGTGTGAGGCCCTGACTGTGGCGTGGGGATACTGGCTTGGCATGTGGGGCACTGGCTGTGGTTTTGGGGGCACTGGCTGTGGCAGCCTGAGCTAGCACGCTCCTCCTCGTAGGAACGTGACACACTCTCTCTTCGGTGGCAGCTGCCCCCTCCCTGCTGGCTCCCCCCACGTTCTCCGTGAACTCAGTGCCGTGAAGCAGGCCTCATGTACTCGCCTAAGGAGCCGAGCGTTTCCTCATGCCCAGGGGGTCTCCTTTGAGAGAGCGGAGAAACCCGCGCCCTCCCCTGAAGAGGCGGCCGCCGAGGCCGAGGCCGGTGGCCCGTGTGTGATGGACGCCCTGGGGTGACTGCCCACGAGACCCGTGGCATTTCCCTGGCTCCGTGGCTGAGACAGTGCAGCTGGCCCCGGCCCCGGCCACTCACATCAATCAGGTGCTTGACCTCGTGCTTCCTGAGGTCGCTGCCGATCTTGGCCGCCAGCAGCACACAGGCCCCCGCGCAGAGTTTCCGGTTCTGCTTGTTCAGCTTCCCCTTGAGGGCGAGCTTCTCGAAGTAGACGAAGGCCATGGCCACCGTGGGCTCCTCGAAGCCGCAGTCCTCCTGCGCCAGCTTCCGCATCTCGCGCTTCAGGCTGGAGGGGCGGGAGGGGCCTGTTGGAGCCTGAGCACCAGGCCCCGAGGACAAGACTTCACCCAGAAAGTACTGCCCTGCCGTCCCCCAGGGGACGGGCACTAAACCGTGAGTGAGATGCTGCGTCGCGTGGGGAAGAGACTCATCTAGACCGGCAGTCGCCAACCGGTGGTCCGCAAGGTCCGAGAGGTTGGCGACCGTGGTCTAGACCACACGGCACAGGCGCACACTGGACCCCAGGGCGGACGGGGTCCCTGGACACTCGGAGAGCTGCCCAGATGGAAGAGGGACCCCACAGGAGGGACGAGGTCCTGCCAGAGACAGAGACGGCCGTGAGGTGGGCGTCTGGAGTCAGCGCTGTGGAGTGACGGTCACGTTCGTTACTGACGTCAGACGGTCAGGCTCAGCACCCCCGTGAGCTCAGGGCGGCTGCCCAGCGAGAGGACAGAGTGACCGTCTTATCTTTGGTCAAACCCAACACGCCAGCACCAGCTCAGCACCAAGATTCACGCGGACATAAGTACTGGCACTTACTCCAACATGGCGTTGTTACACGCAGTCCAGCCCCATTACCATGCACACACACACGCACATGCACACACACACACACGCACACACACACGCTCTCCTGGCACACAGGCCTCACATGCCGGTTTCCCTCTGGTGTAGCCAGAGATGGCTTGGCCGGCAGACATGCGCCCCCATCAGCCATGAGGGAACGTGATTTTGCTTCGGCTGCTTTGCTGCAAGACAGGGCTCGGCCGTCCCTCCTGGGAGTGGCTGTGGGCAGGGACCCATTTCAGACCCAGGGCCCAGCTCCTCTCTCCTGCTTTGCCTGCATCTGAGAACGCAGGGAACCCGTGTCTCTATGCTGTTTCCCGTAACATAAATCGGACTGAACGGTGGGCTGCAGAAATGACAGCAGAAACAGGCGCCTTCCCTGGTCCTTGCCAGCTCCTGCCATGAGACCGCCCTCTGCCCTCTGCCCCCTGCCCTCTGCCCTGGCACTCACAGAGGTCCTCCCAGCAGCTAGCCCCTCATAGGCCTTTGTTAGTTCTCACCCAAGGACATTTTCCCATTGATTTTTAGAGAGAGAGGAAGAGAGGGAGAGAGAGGAAGAGGGAGAGAGGAAGAGAGGGAGAGAGAAACATTGATGTGAGAGACACATCGATTGGTTGCCACCCTTTCCCCTAACCCCCCCCCCCCCCGCCAGCTAAGGCCGCAATCCAACCTGCAGCCATGTCTGTGCCCTTGACTGAAAAGCAAACCGGAGACCCTTGGGGGCGCCCTAACCACTGAGCCACCGCCAGGGCTCAGGAGTCTCTTTGCTGAACGTGCCCACCTTTCGCTTGAACCGCCGTCCAGACCACGTGTGATGGGCGCTGGGAGGGGCTGAGGGAGCTCGAGAGGACGGCCACCTACCTCCTGATTTTGCTGAGCGTTAACTTGATGTGAGGGAACTTCTCCCTGAAGGTCTCGTTCATGTCCTTCTTGAGGTCCGAGGGCTTCACGTAGGCGATCACTGTGGTCTGTAAGGAAGGCAGCGAGGTCACGCCCCCCACCGAGGCCACTGCAGTGGATGCCCGCGGTGATCCCCACGCCCAGGCCCCGGGGAACCGGGGAGCCCGAGCCTGAGGAGGCCCAGCCTCCAGAGGCAGAGGGAGACCACTTCCTGCTCTCAGGACCGGGGGACCCGCAACTCGCGGCCTCTGCTCTCCAGGGCCAGCGCCTGGCAGGGAGGGAGCCCCACTCGCACATCGCGGACGTGCACGGGTGTCACTCACTCCGGCCACCACCGGAGACTGTGACCAAACCTCAGGCTGCACCTCCAGAGAGTGAGGCGGCCCTGCCTCCCAGAGGGCTACTTCGAGAACCACGGGAGACGTCTGTCGTGCTTGGCATTCAGCGCGCACTCAACAAACGTGAGTACTTTTCCAATTGTGGGAAAACACACGACACGGAGACTCGTCCCCATTAAACCCCTTCCTCCCTCGGCTCCTCCTGGCCACGCCACCTCTGTCCCTGCGACTGACGACTCCGCGTCATCAGATGAGTGGGACCGTGTGGTGTCTGTCCCTCAGAGACTGGCCGTCTCACTGAACACAGGTCCTCAGGGCCCATCCACGCGTGGCACACTCTGTGGCACATGTCAGCATCGCCTTCCTTCGCAAGACTCAGCAGCGCGGGCAGGACCAGTGTGGCCCCCGCCCCACCCCTGTCCCTGCTTTTCTGTCCTTAATCCGATGGAACAGCAGCAGGAGTGGGTCTGCGTGGGGTCAGGGCTCCCACGCCAGCCCGTCGCTCTGAGAACGTGGCTACCTGACCCGAGCCTCCCCGCTGCTCCTCTGCACAGGAGAGAACCCCTGGCGGCTGCCCCAGGGGCTGACCGTGAGGACAGAACAGAACCTACCGAGAGGCCACAGGCATCTCATCGAGAGCATCGCAGGGAGGGCAGCACTGCTCACTTGGCCCACAGTCGGTGTCTGAGCTGGGCCCGCTCTGCAGGTGACGCTGCCCAGGGAGTTTCGGGTAAGTTGTGTCCTCCTGAGCCCAGGTTCTGGGGGCCGGGGGGTGACCACCCTGCCGTCCTCAGCCCCAGTCTCTCTCTCAGGCACGCTTTCTGGGGTCCAGCAGCCACGACTCTCTGCGTGGGCCATGCACCTGGGAAGGACTATGCCACCCTCGGAGGGAAGACAACTCCCCACCATCCTGAGAGCCGGCCACGGGGTCACCATGGCCCCCGGGCACCCTCCTCCCGGCCCGAGAAAGAGTGAAAAGCGAGGCCAAGGCTTCTCCCCAGCTCTCCTCTCAGTCTAACTGCTGTCCATAGCGACGCGCCACGCCCAGACCCGTGGTCTTATGTTACTGAGTCGAGGTGCTAGCACCCAGGCTGTGTGGTCCCTTCCTGGTCACGCAGGGCCTTGTGCAGCCGCTGCAGCTGACACCTGGGCCGGCCGTGACATGGCGATGGTGGCGGCTCCAGGGCACCTGCGTGTTTGCAGAGGGAGCTGCCCGGCTGCAGGGAGCGGCGTGTGCACCGCCGCTGAGAGGAGGCCACCGACTGCAGAAGGTCCGAGAGACGCAGCCCAGAGGAGCCCGCCCGCCGGGCACCCCAAGGAAGGAAGGGCCGGCACCCCAAGTCCCTTAGGGAAGGAAGGGCCGGCACCCCAAGTCCCTTCTGAGGTCACAGGGAGAGAGGGTAAGACCACGCTGTCCCCACACCTACTGGGGAGACAGCCTTTGCTGGGAAACAATTATGGGACTGAGTCATCAGGAAAGCAGGGAGGGCCTCCACGGAGCTGAACGAGGGCCCATCCCGGCCCACGGCAATGTCTCGATGCCCAAGCAAAGGCCTCTCGGGCTGGGTGGGCTGCAGTGGGAGGGGAGGGGGGCAGAGCGGAGAGAAGGGGCAGCAGGTGTGGGGGGGCACAGGCCCTGCGACAGCACTGGAGACAGCGGGGCTCACGGCTGACAGGCCGCTGATGGGAACAGAAACAATCTAAAAGGTGCTCTACCTCAGGGCCTCTTGGTCTCTCCTCTTCCTCCCCACCCCCCGCCCTCCACATTGCCCCGGATCCGCGTGGGCAGCCTGAATGGGGTGAGCTGGCTGTGGACTCCCTACTGCTCCCCTCTGGACCGGAGGGCCCGGGACAGGACATGCCCAGTGAGGCTGGTCCAGCCCAGGGGCTCCGGAAGCTGGGGCAGGCAGGCCACCTCCGGAAGCCTGGTTCCTCGGTCCCTCAGTCCTGGAGGAAGGAGGGAGAGGGGTGAGCGCTGGGCTCTCCCAGCACCGAGCCCTGCCCAGCCAGGCTCACCTGCTCATATGGCACCTGTCGCCACCACCACCACCACCACCACCGCAGAGCTCAGCTGGGAAACATGCTCCCGCTCACTCAGTGAACTAAGCAGACGGCGACCCTCAACCAAACCTCTCCCACCACCAACAGCTGGGCATCCGGGCTGCTCTGTGCAATAATTCTTCCCCCGAGAGGACAGCAAACCACAGGGAGCGATGGGGACGGGCAGGCGGCCGGCGCATCTGCTGCTATTTCATTGGTTCCAAACACAGAATCCTGGGTCTCCTCTCCCTCACCATCCAGAGGGGAGCAGCTCTTCATGTTCCTTCGCAGAAATAACGTTAAGGAGAGAAACTCAGGAAAAACGGCCTTCGCTTCCAGTGTTTACACGTCTGCAAGGGTTTAACAGGTGCTGCCAGAGCAGGTCCACAGCTTCAGATATTTGTCAAACATTTACCGGGCGTGTAGAAGCTCCCAGAACATCCTCTCCGCCCGGGTGACCCTGGCTGCATGTGGCCCGAGTTCACGCTCACCCGGCAGGATGTGGACGCACTTTCGTTTGCACGGTGAGCTCAGAGCATGAGCCGGTGAACTGTGTGTGGAGCTGGATTATCAAAAGTCTGAGACAGACGCACAGACCAGGAGTAGCTGCTGCCACATGCTGGGTAGAGTGAAAAGCTGGTATTTCATTCTGTACCTTCTACAAGGAAGACAAGGTTCTCAAAAAGCCGCCCCAATACCGATGCTGCTGTGACAGGGGTGCACGTGACGCCGTGACCAGGTGCAGAAGGCACATGGCGTACGACTCCATTTTATGAAACGCCCAGAACAGCCAAGTCTATGACAGAAAGTGGTTAGTGCAGCCTGGGGCCCATGGGGTGGGGACTACGTATGGGGCTTCTTGTGGGGAGAAAAATGTCCTCAACTCAACTGTGGTGATGACTGCACGCCTTGTGAATATGCTAAATCCCGCTGCACTGTACACACTGGAAGGTGAACTGTGTGACGTGTGAATTATCTGTACTAATAAAAGAGTCATATGCTAATTAGACCAGGAGACCTTCCGGACGTCCTTCCAGACAAAGCCGGGGACTTGGCCGGCCTGCAAACTGCCCCCAAACAGCCCTTAGCCCCTCACCCAGGCCAGCCACACCCCCCAGCAGGGACCTCAGTTGTGGCCAGCCTGAAAATGGCCCTCAGCCCCCCGCCCAGGCCAACCCGGCCCCCCAAAGGGACCCCCACCCTGATCCGGGACCCTCTACAGGGGAGACCAGCTGCCCCCCACCCATGCACCAGGCTTCTATCTATACTAATAAAAGGAAAATATGCTAATTAGACTGGGAGACCTTCCCGGACGTCCTTCCAGACAAAGCCATGGTGGCGGGGCCGAGGCAGAGGTGGTTAGGGGTGATCAGGCCAGGAGGGGAGGGCAGTTGGAGGTTATCAGGCTGATGGGGGGGCAGTAGGGGGCGAGCAGGCCGGCAGTGAGGGGCAGTTGGGGGGCAATCAGGTTGGCAGGGGGGCAGCTGGGGGCAAGCAGGCTGTTGGGGGTCAGTTGGGGGTGAGCAGGCCAGCAGGCAGAGTGGTTAGGTGCAATCAGGCAGGCAGGCAGGCGTTCAGTTAGGAGCTAGGGGTCCTGGATTGTTTGGCCTGCACCCTCTCGCAATCCAGGACCCCTGGGGGATGTCAGAGAGCCGGTTTCGGCTCAATCCCACAAGCCAGGCCGAGGGACCCCACTGGTGCACGAATTTGTGCATTGGGCCTCTAATAGCCAATAAGGCTGTTACAGCCTCCCACCCCGAAAGAGAGCAGCAGAAACCACCACAACGCAGTCAGCACTTTGTGTGTAACACCCACACCGAGGCCGCGCCCCACAGGCCTGCTGCTCCCCCTTCGCACGTGGAGCAGGTTCTCCCAGGAGCGGGGAGTCCCCTTCACGTCCGGGAGGCGGGGCACCCACGGTGTCTGGTGTGACTTTTCTGCAACAGGGTCTGCTGACCCGAGGAAGCTCCGTGCACCTCGGACCTCAGGGCCCGGAAGGGACTGCAAGGGAGGCTGCGGCTCAGCTGCTCTAGCTGCTCCGTGAGCCGTGTGCAGGCAGGCGCTGGCGTGCGTCCCGAGAGCTTCCACAGACAAGGCAGCGTGCATGGGGGGTGGGCAGGGCCCACGGGAGGGACTTGTCTGCTTTTCCCACGCTCAGCATCGCACGCCGCCCCCGAAATCGCGTTCTGAGCCACATTCCCGCCACCCTGGGAGACGGCGGGAGGAGGGTCTGTGGGCACCGAGGTTGTGACAGTACGTGATCGGGAGCAGGCACTGGGCCAGGGAGCTCGGCCCAGAGCTGGCCCCAGAGCCATCCAAAGGGTCTGTGTCCAAACAGTGGGAGGTTTATTTTTCCTGAGAAAGGAAAAGGGTCCAGAGGCCCATTCAGCTCAGGTTACTCCTGCTGGCGCGGCCTCGTCAGCTCTTTGGCTCATGTTCTCTTCCTGACTGCTCTCCGCACTCATGGGGGGGGGGGGGGGGGGCTGTGGCCTCGGCTGCTCTAACAGCCTCCCTCCCCCAACTTCCATGACGGGCAGGCGGCACGCGGAGCAAGAAGCGCCGACCCGTCCGACGCCAGGCCTCTGCCCGTCCTGGCCCCGAGAAGCACCGTCCTTAGTGAAGGCCGGCGAGAACCTGCAGGCAGCCAGGGGCTCACACCCTCCCATGGCCGTGGTCTCCTTCTATTAACTCGGCCGAGACCACTAGGGGTTCACCCTTCCAGCCTCCATGCCTGGCCCGGGAATGTCTGTGTTCGGCACGACCTCTGACCTTTCCGGGGGCTAACGGGAGAGGCCTGCACGGATCAGCGTGAAAACCACGATGGGAACGTGACGGCGAAGCCAACTGTACAGGGAGCCACTGGACCCGCGTCAACCACAGGCCTCCTCTGGGCCTCGGGACTCGTCCGCCCCCGGAAACCCCACTTTACGCCGCGGCCCGACCCCGAGGCCTTGGAACTTGGAGCAAACATGAGTGAACCTATGACCCAGCCACATCCTGGCTGCTAACGTCACCTACACTGTGACGCAGGCAGCCTGCTCCTCGGTATTTGCCTAAGAAATAACACACGTCCTCAGAGAGCCGTGCACAGGAGGCCCATCGCATCTCTAAACTGGATACAGCCCATGTCCCTCAACAGGACGCCGGACGAATCCACTCTGGTGAATTCACACAAAGAAATCCTACTCGGCAATTTTTAAAAAGCTTATTGATGCGCGGTACCAAGGAGAAGCTCAGATACTGAGTGGAAGACGGACGAGGAAATAAAAGAGCACACGGTACGTAATCCCCTTCATGTGCCGTGTGAGTGACAGCCAGTGGTTCTCAACCTTCCTAACGCCGCGGCCCTCATGTTGTGGTGACCCCCAACCATAAAATTATTCTCGTTGTAATGTTGCTACTGTTATGAATCGTCATGTAAATATCTGATATGCAGGATGTATTTTCATTGTTACAAATTGAACATAATTAAAGCACAGTGATTAATCACAAAAACAGTATGTAATTATATATGTGTTTTCCGATGGTCTTAGGCGGCCCCTGTGAAAGGGTCGTTTGACCCCCAAAGGGGTCGTGACCCACAGGTTGAGAACCCCTGGTGTAAGCAGAACCGGGTCCGTGGGGACAGGACTCAGAACCGCGGGGGCCTGTGAGGGGTGACAGCAGAGGCCGGGCAGGAGGGCATCTCCGAGGAGACAGTGTCCTGGGTCTCGGTCAGAGAGGCTGCAGAAGCCTCGGACCTGAGCACTGGGAACGGTGCATCCGGTCGGGGTCACACGGTAAGAAAAAGAGGTGCAGCAGCGTCGGGTGGGGTCAAAGGACCAGCTCATCACGGTCAGAGCTGCTTCTCTCTGTAGAGGCCACAGGACAGCTCAGCCCTGGGATCCCACAGGTCAGGACACCCCCAAACACTGGACACAGCCCAGGTCTCCAGGCTCGAGGCCCCCACGGGGGGTGGGGGGGGCGGGCGCTAACTCAGCTGCCCTGGGGCCTAAGGGGACAGGCACGAGCAGCAGAGCCAGAGGCCCTGGGCGACCCTGAGGGAGGGGGTCCCGTGCAGACCTCTGCACCTAGCAGGCCACCCCTCCCCAAGCTCCACGCCAAGGCCTCTGCAGGGCCTGGAGGGGGCAGAGTGGGGGCCGCACAGGCCTCCCGTCCACTGCAGGGGCGCCCGCCTGACATGAGGGTCACCCCCCAGCAGGCATGCACCAGCGAGGCCTGTGGAGGCAGCGCCCACCCGCCCAAGGGCCGAGACCGCAGACCTCAGAGGGGCCTCGACAACCCGGGCTGAGCAGCTGCGTCCTCCGTGTCCTCGCTCCTCAGTGCCTGTTACACGTGAGGCTCCGCACCCCGGGGAGAGGGGGCCAGTTTGTCAGGAGCGTCATCCTGCAGGCTCGACTTTGTGTGCGTGCGTGTGCATGTGTGCGTGTGTGCATGTGTGCCTGTGCGTGTCTGTGTGCGTGTGTCCATGTGTGTGTCTGTGTGCATGTGTGCAGAAAGAGTAGGACAGCGACTTACTGTTTTTTTTGTTTTATTGATTTCAGAGAGGAAGGGAGAGGGAGACAGAAACATCAATGATGAGAATCATGGGTCGGCTGCCTCCTGTACACCCCACATTGGGGATTGAGCCTGCAACCCAGGCATGTGCCTTGGCCGGGAATCAAACCATGACCTCCTGGTTCATAGGTCGACACTCACCACTGAGCCACGCCGTCCGGGCTGACTCTTCTGTTGAAAATACTGATTTTACACCAAGTCAGCTTCTCTCACCCCACAGGGCTCCGCGTGGGCCCCCTTCCCAGCACCCATTCTCAGTATCCTTTCTCGAGAGCCTCTCACCTCTGACCTCTGACCTCCAACCCTCCCTGACATCTACCACGAGGTCAAGGAGCATGGGGACTGTGGTGGGTTTAACCTTCTCTGAGCAGGAAGCACTTGGCCTGGCGCACAGTAGGGCCGTCAATATTGGCTGAGTGGACAAATCCTGTGCCTGTTGCCCAACACACAAATAAAGGCCCCCCCCCCCCCGCATGCTCCATGTGAGATGCACGTGAGGGGCCCGTGCTCCGGGCCCACGTCTGGCGAGGGATCCCCCAGGCGCATGTGAGGCTCATGTGACACGCACATCCATGACCGAGACGAGCGTGCCGAAATGCGGGCGCCTGCGTGTTACCGACAGGCCCGTGTCTACAGCGACGGAACGTTTCCTTCTCTGGAAAGCGAACCCTGACAGGAAGCATGGCAGGTTCAATGCGGTGAATGAAAACGAGCGGCTGGGGAACACAGAACACGGGGTGGGACACGTGTGCGGACCTGGCAGGACCAGCCACTGCCCATGGAGGGAGAACCCCCTGTGCGCAGCGCCCACGGGGACTGCAGCCCAGCCCACGAAGCTCCCGATGAAGTGATTTAAAGAGAAAACTTGGACCTGGCAGCAGCCGGACCCCAGGCCTATGGCAGGAGGGGCTGGTGTCATCCCGGACGTGAACCATCTGTGGCCGAGCTCCCACCAAACCTCAACGTCCATGAGAATGGCGCCTGATTCTCTGGGGGCCGAGTTTGTTAAACTGCTGACCCAGAGAATCCCTTTCTCGTCCCGAAGTCGGCGGTGCCTTGGGCGCCGAGGGCTGTGGGGTTCAGAGGCGAAGGGAGCCAGGTGCTCCGGCCCCATGCCCACTTTCTGTCTGTCACCGTGGCAGCCAGTGGGCTCCGGAGTAGTTTCCTGCCCAGTCACTTAACAAATGAAGTGACTGACAAGTGGAGCAGGGACCACATGGGGCCTTCTTCCTGCAGTCATGACGGCTCTGCTCTCCCTGGACATCAGGGCAATGCATCTGGCTGTTTACTAAGCACTTACTATGTGCCGGCTCAGACCGACGAGCTCCCCACTGTGCGCCGGCTCAGACAGATGAGCTCCTCACTGTGCGCCGGCTAAGAGGATGAGCTCCTCACTGTGCGCCGGCTCAGACCGATGAGCTTCTTACTGTGCGCTGGCTCAGACCAATGAGCTCCTCACTGTGCGCCGGCTCAGACAGATGAGCTCCCCACTGTGCGCCGGCTCAGACCAATGAGCTCCTCACTGTGCGCCGGCTCAGACAGATGAGCTCCTCACTGTGCGCCGGCTCAGACCGATGAGCTCCTCACTGTGTGCTGGCTCAGACCAATGAGCTCTGGTGGTTGTTTTTAAAGAAGCAATGACCTCACAGAGGTCAGAGTGGAAAAGAACTACCCACAGGTCTGGTTCGCTTTCTGTGTCAGCAGCTGGGGAATAAGGAGGGAAGAGCAAGGAGTAGGGCCAGTTTTAAACTAAATGCCTTTGGCCCGGCTGGCGTGGCTCAGAGGCTGAATATCGCCCTACGAGGGGGTCACGGTTCGATTCCCAGTCAGGGCACATGCCTGGGTTGCAGGCTGGGGTGTGGGGTGTGCAGGAGGCAGCCAGTCAATGATTCTCTCGCATCACTGATGTTTCTCTCCCTCCCTCCCTCTCTGTAATCAATAAAATATATTTTAAAAACCAATACACTAAATGCCTTTGGTAATTCATCCTGACTCTGGCACTGGAACGTTTCTGGCTCCCTGCCCGTTACAGGAGGAGACGCAGGCGGAGCTGGCCAGGTCCCGGGTGTCTCTGACGTCGGCCCGTTGTCAAATGCTCTGTGAGGAGAGGCCTGAGCCCGGGGCCCAGCACAGAGGCCGCTCAGCTCTGAGTGGGTGCCAGGTGCCCTTTCATACGTAGGCTGGGCCCACTGCGGCTTCCGAGACACGACACGGGGTCTGTCCTGACTCCCCCCTGGCGCCTGCCTGCCTGATTGCCCCTAAGCGCGGGGTCCGAGGCTTCTGCAGCCTCTCTGACTGAGACCCAGGACACTGTCTCCTCGGAGATGCCCTCCTGCCCCGCGTGTCCCAGGAGAAGGGCCGGGCTCACTGCTGGGCCGAGTGCAGAGACCGCATGGCGGGGGAGGGAGGCGCCAGGCCGTGTGCTCAGCTGCGCCCTCCGGCCGGCAGGGAGGCGGCAGGGCGTTCTGGCCGTGCTCTCCCACCGATTCCTGTGTGCAGCCCTGGGGCAGCGGTTTCCCAGAAGCCCTCGTGCCTCTCCCCACGGCATCCCGGCTCGGCCTGCCTCCGAGTTGGCGCATCTCCCCAAGAAAGTACCCGGGCCCTGCCAGGCCCTCTGATCTCGGGGAACGGCCGCCAGGAGCAGAGCGGTGGGAGGTGGTCAGCCAGGAGCCGAAACCAGACTCAGAGGAAAACAGGAAGAGCCCGAGAAACAGCAGCTGTGAGGAAGGCTTGCGTTTGACACCCACACTGTCCTGCTTCACTTTCCCGGGGGGAGGGCTCGGTCACCCTGAGCCCAGGCCACGTGTTTGCTCAGTGGGCACTGCAGACCCACCCTCACGAGGACTCTACCAGCTGGCTTGACCTCAGCACGGCCGGTGAGCCCACCCTCTCCCAGTGGGTCTACAGATGCCACGCTTGGAGAGTGAGCCGGTAGCTAATGTGATGTGTGCAGGCCAGTGACCAGCAGAACCCTGGACCGGCCACGTTCTGGTCTCCCTGTCAGCACGGCACCTGGAGGGTCTCCAGGCTGAGCAGGGTCTGAAGGCAGCGCAGCCGAGGGAAGGCCTGCCTGCCGCCTCCACGCTACTCACCATGTACGAAGGGAAGATGAGAACCCGCTTGTGCTTCCCACAAGGCCACTGGGGGTCGTCCAGGAGGTTCGGGTCGTAGTCCACAAAGTCTCCCAGGTCGCTGCCTAAGGGCCACAGGCAGAGGGACAGTCAGGGCCAGGCCTCCGGGCAGCGCAGAGGTGAATGCCCGTGCGGGGGACTGAGGGCTGGTCAGGGCACCAGCTCGGTCGCCTGCCTGCCTGCCTGACATGTAGTCAGTCTCTGCAGCCAAGGAGGCGTGTCCTCTCCAACAGGGGCACCAGATTCTTCACCTGACGACGAGCTTTTCCACTTTAGAAAATGACACGTGAATCTCCCTGACCCGGAAAGCACAGGACCCCGGAGCATGAACAGCACAGGGACACTCGGACAGAACACGTGGTGCCGAAAGGCTCGTTTCTAACCCTGCAGGTCATTGGCAACTGAGCCCCGTGAGAAGCACGTTTTGGGGTGAACCCTCCTGGGCAGACTACTGTGCCCACATAAACACGGATCAAAGCAGGCCCGTGCACTTGGGGACCAGCGGGTGGAAGCACGGACAGTGTTTCTGACTCAGCACCTGGACAGGCTGAGCCCTCCGATGGCCTGGGGTCTCCGAGCAGTGGCACTGCTCACCAAGAGCTCCCGTCAGCCCCAGGGGGTCGCTCAGGCCGAGCAGGAAGCACCCAGCCTCCTTCCGCAGCCCATCCGCTCGCGCGAGAACCACAAGGGACGTTCTCACACCAGATCCTGGGCTTCTGGCTCAATTATTTGAAGAAAAGCCCAACTTGAGCACTGAAAAGTGTAGGCAAGAAGCAGGTAACAGGGAGGTAACTCTGAGGCGCAGAGGTGGCCAGAAGCCGGATCCTGCCCAGCCCCCTCTGCACGAGGCCGTGGGGTTTCCCCAGGGGCGCTCAGGGGCTGGGCGGAGGCATCTCATTGGAGAGGCCACCCTCTGGCTGGTTGTGAGGCTGAAATCCTCTTGCCCAATCACGTTGCCTGTGGGATGAGCTCACACTCCGGGACCCGGCCCTCCTGTCTGCACACAGGAGACCCACCCACACTGTACCCCAAACGCCTCTTGCCGCAGCCCCCAGACCCAGCAGCCGGCACCTGTGTCGAGGCTCCCCTGGGTGCTGCTGGCCCGCCCTATGGAGAGGCTGCGGTGGCTCAGGGTGCGGAAGTGGGAGAAGGAGGAGGTGGAGTCGATGGTGCCCCTCCGGGCTCCCAAGGCGTTTGTGGGCCACAGGAACTGGGTGTACGACACTGTCTGGAAGGAAGACAAAGGGCAGGTGAGGGACAGCCCCAGGCAGGTGAGGGACAGACCCAGCGACGCTGCACGTCTCCCATTGCGACGGACACCAGGGACCTGGAAGATGACTTCTATTCCGGCCAAATCTGTGCCAGAACCGCTGCCTGTGGCTGTCCCTGACCGCCCCCCCCCCCCCCCCCCCCGGTGAGAACGCTCAGGTGACATGGCCGATGTGTGTTTGATAACAATGTGTTGTCCTCGACCAGCGATGGCGAACCTTTTGAGCTCGGCGTGTCAGCATTTTGAAAAACCCTAACTTAACTCTGGTGCCGTGGCACATATAGAAATTTTTTGATATCTGTAACCATAGTAACACAAAGATTTATATTTTTTATATTTATTTTATACATTTAAATATCATTTAAAAAAGAAAAATCAACCAAAAAAATGAGTTTGCGTGTCACCGCTGACACGCGTGTCATAGGTTCACCATCATGGTCCTAGACACTGTGGGGATGGTGTGGGCTGCGTGAGGCACAGACTGGCACTGCTTTCCATGAACCATCACCCGCAGCGTTCCAGGCCCCGACGGCTGGAGTCCCTGACAAGGGGCGTGACCCCGTGCCCTGCGGCAGATCCATCCATGGGGCTCACCTCCGCTTCCCACCCCCCGCAACCCCCTCCCCATTCCTGGGTGGACACTCAGCCTTCAGGAGAGAAAGCAGCACATGTATCTTTCTCTCCGCTGGCCTGGGGACCACAGCTCAGGCCCTGGGGGAGCTGTGCCGGGGGGTCCTGTGCATGCAAACGGCTGGGACGGTCTCCCCAAGGACACCCTGCATGGTCTCCCCAACAGGCTTTGGGGGGCTCATGAAAGACTGGATTCACCCTTCACACCCTAGACGTCACCCCGCAGCCTGGTGAGCTGCGTGTGAGAGGCGTGGCAGCCCTGGGGCCTAGGGTCTCCGTCGGAGGCTGACACCTGTCTAGTTGTGGGGAGGCGGCTTGCGGGCACCATCCGTTACTGCTGTTCACACTACCCACATCCCTGCACCCCAGAGCATGCACGTGGACACGTGTGTGCGCGCAGGCAGGGAAACCTTGTGTTGCTATGCAATCGCGGCCTCGATGGGCTTCGCCTGCCCGCTGGGAGCCCAGGAAGGTGCCCCCCACCCCTCGAGCGAGGCGCGTGGACTGCCCCCTCTTCTGCTTCCCAAACCTGTGACTTGGGCACAGACTCGCCAACGGGAGCCAGGCAGCCTTACCTTCCCGTCAGCGCCCAGCTCCACGCCTTCCAGGCCAATGACCTCTTTCAGGCTCACGGCACCTGCTGACTGTCTCCCTCCGTCCGCCTTCAAGTCCCTGGGAGGACAAGCCAGAGAGGAAAGCTGCTGTTTGTACCCAAAAGAGGTGCTGTGACGCTCACTATGAGACACCAGTCATGCTGACGAAAGGGACCGAGCAGGCTTCCCCTCGCCCCTCCACCGGGCCGGGTCAGCGGCTCAAGGGCAGCCCCCCCACACGCCCCCCACTCTGGCATGAAGGACGTACAGCTGAACGAGTGCCTGAGGGAGAAAGGCGGGTGCAGAGTGTGGATCCCCGGCCTCCCTCCACTCAGCAAGTCTCTCTTCTCTGAGACGGTTATGGCACAGGCACCAGGGGGCACCCCGGGCACAGGGACTACACTCTGCTGGGCTCTCGCTGCTGGCTTCTTCTTAAATCTGGGGGAGACGCCTCTCGCCTCCCCCTTTAGTAGACAGGAGAAAGAATTTCTCATCCTGAACAGCTCTCAGGCTCACTGCTGGCCATGAGAGAATTAGCGCCCCAAGAGTCACCCTCCTACCTTGGCAGGCCACCTGGAAAATGAGTATCTTTCTATGAAACAATGTCCAATGTGAACAGCAAGCAGTCACAGAACACTTCACACCTGACAAAGACTGTCACACACCATCCCTTTCATCCTTTTTTTCAAAAATATAGTTTTACTAATTTCAGAGAGGAAGGAAGAGGGGGAGATAGGAACATCAGTGATGAGAGAGGATCATGGATCAGCTGCCTCTGCTGCCCCCTAATGGGGATCGAGCCCGCACTAGGCATGTGCGCTGACCGGGAATCAAACCATGACCTCCTGGTTCATACATCAACGCTCAACCACTGAGCTGGGCCCGCAGGCCCCTTCATTCTTGATGCTGCCCTTATCAGACTGCTGTTGCTATTACTGTCCCATTTTACAGATGAGAAAACGAGGCCCAGAGTAGGCAGATGGCTGGCCACGTCCCCCTCTCCTTGCAGTAGTTCTCACTAAGCTGCGTGTTGGAATCACCGGGGATTTCTGACAAACTCCTGCGGTCTGGCTCCCACCCCAGCCATGCTGATTCTGTTGTCATGGGTGCAACCTGGGTGCAGGAGTTCTGAACGCTCCCAGGGGTCTAAATCGCAGCCATATCCAGGAAGGACCACCTTCCAGCTGCTGCCTCTGTGTGCCGTAGAGGCACTGTGCTCAGGGCTGTCTCCTGTAAGAATGGGGGCTGTTTCAGCAAGAACGAACAAGTTTAAAATAGTAAAGGAATCGATGGGAAAGCGAGGTGCCCTGGAGGCAGGTGAGTGGGGGGAGGAGAGACGAGTGCCCGCCCCCCATGGAGGAACTCAGGACCCTCTGATGTGCTGAGCAGTCCTCCTCACCTGTGGGCTCCCATGATGGACTGGCTCCCTCATCCTATGATGCAGAGTGAGGTTAGCAACATCTTCCAAAGACCCACCTCGACCTGCTCCCAGGAGGACTGCCTTCTGCAGCCACGTGGAGGCCAGTTCTGCCAGGCCAGCCCAGAGCGTCTGGGCCCCTCTGGAACTGACACAAGTCTTCACACTTCACACGCAAACTCTGGTCAGTGCCCCCCCCCCCCCCGCGCCCCATTGACCGGATGTGACTGAACGTGACTTTAGACTCCTCCACGGACAGTCAGAGAACTGTGAGGTCACTCAGAGGTGCAGCTCATCCATCAAGAGCTCCAAGGCATCCTGAGCCACAGAAGTGCTCTCGGAGGAGTCTGAGCTCCCCCGGGGGAGGGGGTGGCCCCACCAGGACCACGCTCCCTGAGGGCTCCGAGGCCCAGGCTTCCCCACTTCATGGAGGTGCCGTGCCCACAGGAAGCTCACATCCAAGCTGTTGGCCTCCAACCTGCAGCTGGGAGACCAGCAGGCTGGAGCGACGCTTACGACCAGCACCTCAGGGCCACAAACCAGGGACCACCTGCCTCGCCCCCTCTAGGAGCCTCCAGGGCAGCCCTCACTTCCTCCAGCAGACAGGACAGCGGATGCATCCATCGCGAGCAAAGGGAAACACCCGTGGAGCAAGGTCCGGGCCCTGAGGCTGACACAGCCTGTGGGTCGGAGCCAGGCCCCGGGGGGAGACCCTGGGCGGAGCTGGAATAGGCCTCAGGGGAGTGAGGAGAAGCCAGAGACCGTGGCCTTGATGCCCCCTCTTTGTGAACCGAGAGGGTGGGAAGGGTGCAGAAAGGCCGGAAGGGTGCGCTGGTTCCCCCAAAGGGAGGGTTGAAAACACCCAGCGGAGCAGCAGCCGAAGGCTGAGGACTGACGAGTGATCAGGTCTCCACGTTCCCTCTCAGATCATCTCTCCCATCAACACGGGGCGTGAGCACCGACATCACGCGGTGCCAGCGCTGACCCTGCGGCACCGGAGGCGGACCCCGGGGAACGGCAGCTGAAGGTCTTCAAAGCAAATGAAGCTGGGCTTTGCAATTGGTTTGAAGAGCCTCAGAGATCATTTTTCCCAGATGCACGTTGAGTTCAAAAATGAATTTATTTATGTTCTGCCTCCTTCTAAGCATGGAACGGAGGCAAGTTCCACCGCCCACGTGGGTCTTGTCCAAAACCGCGAGCGGAACGGTGTACGTGTCGCTTGGACTCGCAGGAGGGCACAGTCGGTCAGGCTCAGGACAGGACCTCGTGGGTGTAGATGCCCTGACAAAACCCTGCTCCCATTCCCTCTGCGCCCACAGCCCCAGGGGAGACTGCTCAGCTTATTTAGCTACAAGACCTCATTTCTCATGCTATTTAAGTTTATTTTTAAAAAAAATATTTCTATTGATTTCAGAGAGGAAGGGAAGAGAGACAGAAACATCGATGATGAGAGAATCATGGATCGGTTGTCTCGGGCACACCCCACACTGGGGATGGAGCCTGCAACCCGGGCCTGTGTCCTGATGGGAACTGAACCGTGTCCTCCTGGTTCCTGGCTAATGCTCAACCACTGAGCCACACCAGCCGGGCCTATTTAAGTTTCTTAACCTTTGCAGAGACCGTAAGCAACAAACACACTTTGAAAACCCAGGGCGAGTGCACACACTTTTTTTTTTTTACAAAGGTTGGCCAAAAGGGGTGGGAGGGATGGGAGGTAGTGTAAGGAGGACAGAGAAGGGGCCACAGAAGATGGGGGAGGGGATGAAAACACCAGGGGAGACAGCCCCACAACAGTGATACCTCTAAGCAAGAAGCAGACGCAGAGGTGGGCTCTCTGGGGCGGAGCCAGCCTCGCAGACGGCACTGCAGTTCGCCCCGTGGGTCTCCTGGGAAGCCCGTCACCTCGGGCGGGAACCCCCGGGCCCGTCTTAGTTTTGTCCCCTGACACAGAGCGGACCTACTCGATTTCATCGTGGTGGGTCGTCTGGTCAGAGCAGCGGCCGGTCTAGCTCTCCTGGTGCCCAGAGGGGGTCCCCTCGGTGCTCAAGGCCTCATGTGCCAGCTCCTGACTCCCTCCTGTGGGCGGCACAGTGCTCCCGTGTCCTCTTCCAGCTCATTGAGCGGCACCGCAAGGAACTGGACAGCAGGGCCGAGCCAAGGCCCGTTCCTTAGGGAGCGTCTGGCTAACGAACCGACATTCCTCTCAATGACAGCAGCAGCCGTACGTGCGTGCGACTTAAAGCATCAGCACCTGGGAAGTGGGTGACCCAAGTGTGTTGTGGCCAATGAGCTCGTCGCAGGGCCTCCGCCTCCGGGACGGCCGCTGGGATTTACTTCAGTGACGGGGCTGCCTCTCGGGCCGGGGTTGCAGCCGGGAGCCCCTCTGGGCATCAATCTTTAAAGGACAATGCGTTGAACACGTGGATGTGTAACTAACTTAAAAGCTAATTAAAGTTAACAGGATTTCCAGACGCTTAGAAAAGAACAGGCCGGAGATCTGCTTCACAGAGAGCAGAACGTGAGGCTGGCTGGGCAGCAAGGCCGTCTCTAGCCCGGCACCACTGGGGGCTGCACCCCAGGCTCAGCGACACGAGGCTAACGTGGCTCCAGAATCCTCGCCATCGCCCCCGTACTGCCGCCACCGGGCAAGTCTGCCTGCTGGTCCAGAGCAGAGCGCTGCCCCCAGTTCAGAAGCAGCAGATGGGCCAGGCCACCAGGCCGCGGACAATCAGAGCAGCGTTCAGTCCTGCCAGCCTTCGGGCTCCCACTGAGCTTGCCATCCACACGCCACCCCCCGGGCACTGGCAGCAATGAGGGGCCTCTGCAGGCAGCTCCTACAAACAGCCGATCACGGCATGATTCACCCATGAGATCATCCCAGAGCCGGTCGCTGGGGGAACATGCACGGACGTGGGGGAGGGGCGTGGAGGCTGGAGGCCTCTCCGGAAGGGCCGTCCTCTGTGTCACCGAGTGACGAGGGGACGACCTCACCTGAAATGTCCAGCAACAAAGGCTGGGGACACGAGCGCCACACGGAAGCTGCTGTTTAAAGCTTCACGTCCAGAGACACTGGGGCTCCAACCGTGCAGGCGGCTCACCCAGCGACTGTCCGTCAACCAGGCATGCTGCTCTCAGTGGGTCTCCCCAGCACACACGCCTCGCAGGCGCTATTCTGTTGGGGCACGAGCGTGGTTGTTCTCTAGAATCCTCAGCACAGGCTTCCTGGACTCACTCCGACCTCCTTCCAGCCACACCCTCATGGCAAAAGTAGGCTCACAGCCCTGGCCAGTGTTGGTTGGGCATCGCCCCAAAGGTTGCTGGTTCAATTCCAGTCGGAGCACAGGCCTGGGTGGCGGGCTCAATCCCCAGTAGGGGGCGTGCAGGGAGCAGCCAATGGATGTTTCCCCCTTTCCCCTCCAGTCTCTCTGGGATCAATTTAAAATAAAGGTAGGTTGACGGTTGTATGAGAAACAAGAGCTTATTCTCATATTTATTAACGTTGTATTGCTTCCCATGGAAACAGCTGTAACCCTCCTGCCCCGCCCTGTATGTGCAAAATGCCTGCGGTGCCCCACCTCCAGGGACTGAAGACCATCTCGCTCTCATGGCAGCTGTGTGCACGGGGCTGCGGGGGCAGCTCCGACTCCAGGCCTGCAGTCTCCCCCTCACAGGGGACCCGCTCCCAAAGCTCTGGAGTTGGTGTCTGGGACGGGCGTGCCTGTTCCCGCTGACGGGACGCCATGACGAGTCGCCCCACAGGACGCCCTTCTGGCCTGTAATGCAGCTGCACTCGCCTGGGGTCCAAGCAGGAAGTCCTGTCGCAGGAGGAACAGGCCAGAGGGTGGTAGAGGGCGGGAGGCAGGAGGAAGCTCTGGGTCCCGGGCCGACCCCCTATTGCATTATTCCCACCTCCCGACTCCCACCCAGAACGGACCTGGGGAAACCACCTGCTTCCAACTCAACGTGCAGCCAAGAGCGTCCCTGCTTCCCGCAAGCCCGGCGCCCGTGGAAAGAGCCGTGTGTTCATCTGCTCGCACGCTGCATGCTACTGACATTTCCCACTGGAGCTGACGGAGGGCGAGGCCAGCCAACTGCTGACAGCCAGAGACCCGAGGGGTGTGGACAGGGACTGGGGAGCTGGGTGTTGTCTGAATGCACCCGCCCTGCACCCCTGCTCCGTGCCCATCATGCCCCGGGCAAGACTGAATTCCCAACGGGAAAGAACGGGAAAAGAAGACAGTTATTAGAAGCATCTCCTATCTAACAGGGCAGTGAGGAGCCAGGAAAATTCCAGGTCAAGTGAATAGGGAAACTGAGGCAGGAAAGTGCAAGCAAGGCCAAATAGCCCTGGCCCGTGTGGCTCAGTGGATAGAGCATCTGCCCGCGGACCAAAGGGTCTCGTGTTCAACTCCTGGTCGAGGGCACGTACCCGGATTGCAGGTTTGATCCCCTGCCCGGGTGAGAGCTCGGGCAGGAGGAATCAATCCATGTGTCTCTCACGTCAGTGTTTCTCTCTGCCTCTCCCCTCCTCCCTCCTTTTCACTCTCTAAAAATCATTAGAAAAAATATCCCAGGGTGAGGATTAACCAAAACAAAACAAAAAACCAAGTCCAAACAGTGTGGGCAATTTGCAGCCAGCTTGTCACTAACAAGCCATGGTCTTCCCCACGCAGGACAGAGAGAGCAAAGGGTTAAAAGCTCCCTAAGGAGGGACACAGAGAGGGAGGGAGAGGGGAAAGGGAAAAAGGGCCCTTTCACTCCCGCAGAGAAGCGCAGCCTGGGGCTTGGCAAGGCAAAGGGGCAGGTGCTTCTCGTGGATTCTGGGAATTCTGGGAGAGCCACACAAAGTAAACAGGGGCCTTGAGAACGAATCTGCACCAAGACAGTCAGCAAGGAACCTGGAAACCTACACACAGGAGGGCGTCTGAGGACTCGGACCTCACCCCACCTGCTCTTCAGATTAGCCGAGAGCTGAGAGCCGAGAGCCGTCTGCGCTCCGTAAGCCGCAGGTGCAGGCTTCAAGGGCTTTCACACATGGCCTGGATCACAGCGCCAGCGAGGTCTGAGTATGAATCCGCGTACGTGAGAGGACTAGGTGGAGGCTGGGACAGCCACTCCCTCTAAGGCAGCGGTTCTCAACCTGTGGGTCACGACCCCTTTGGCGGTCGAACGACCCTTTCACAGGGGTCGCCTAAGACCATCCTGCATATCAGATATTCACATGACGATTCACCACAGTAGCAACATTACAGTTATGAAGTAGCAACGAAAATAATGTTATGGTTGGGTCACAACATGAGGAACCGTATTTAAAGGGCCAGAAGGTGGAGAACCACTGCTCCGACTCGACTCGACTCTGGGTCGGTGGGGCCCTAGCAGGACGACTGTCACAAGCGCCTGTGAAGCCTCCCCTGGGCCGGCCTGTCTGCTTCGCTCAGCAGATGTCAGGAGCCAAAGTCAGTCCAGTTCAGCTCAAACCCAAGAACAAAGCTGGGGGGGCAGGGGGGCGGAATAGAGGGCCTGGGACGCTCCGGCCGCCGCAGGGGCCAGAAGACAGACCCAGAAGAGATAAGGCCACCCCGACAGATGCTCTCCAGTCAGGGGTTCAAGTGCAGTGAAGGGACTTTTGAGTTTTCCTGTCTTTAAATCTTTCTTGGGATGAAGTTGGGACACACATGGACCCGTCCGCGGCTGGTCTGCGCCTGTTGGAATTCTCGGGCACACGTGGCCTGGTCCACGTGCCTAAGCACCACGGAACCACGGGAGCCAGAAACCGTGTGTTGAGCAGCCCGGTGGCCGGAGTCCGGTGGCTGGCTCAGATGGGGGGGGGGGGCAGGGAGCCTATGGGCTCGAGCTGCAAGGCAGGGAAGCCCCCTTTCCACCCCGGGAATCCTAGGACTTACGTCCTGGTCACGGAGAGGCTTTAGCGTAAAGGTAAAGGAATTTTTCACAGTGAAAACATACTAGTTAGTATGCACATGAGCTGCAGGAGTTTAAAAATATGTACACGTATAAATTTACTAGCATAAACACTTGTCATTTAAGCACAATTATTTCCCAATAATTAGCTTAAAGATCATAATTATAAGTGGCAGTTATTATAAATAGGATATCTGTTCATTAAAACATTTAAAAAGCAGAACAGTCCGGCCAGCGTGACTCAGTGGTTGAGCACTGCCCTGTGAAACAAGAGGTCACGGTTCGATTCCCCCGTCAGGCACATCCCCAGTCGGGGGCGTGCGGGAGGAGCCGATCCATGGTTCCCTCTCATCATGGATGTTTCTCTCTCTTTCCCTCTCCCTTCCTCTCTGACATCAGTGAGAATATATTTTAAAAAATGACAAGCAGGCCGAAACCGGTTTGGCTCAGTGGATGGCACGTCGGTCTGCGGACTGAAGGGTCCCAGGTTCGGTTCCGGTCAAGGGCATGTGCCTGGGTTGCAGGCATATCCCCGGTAGGAGATGTGCAGGAGGCAGCTGATCGATGTTTCTCTCTCATCGATGTTTCTAACTCTCTATCTCTCTCCCTTCCTCTCTGTAAGAAATCAATAAAATATATTTAAAAAAAAAAATGACAAGCAGGACACTTCTTAGTCTCGCTGCTCAATCCGACTCGTGCTGCCAGTTTCTCCTGAGGACGTCAGCATGTGCCGCCCCCGCGAGCATGTTCTCTTCTCTGCTGGGTGACACGGGGACTTGGCTGGGGGCTTTGTTACAGAAATTACCTTTTCTGCATCTTGGTTTCTCATCTATAAAGCTGAGGGAGTGGCGAGTTTGATTGTTCGTATCCAAGATGTGAGGTTACGTCCCGTGAGTCCTCGCACATTCCGCGTCTGCATCTGGGGCAAGTGGCAGGACGAGTCTCCTAATAACCCCCTCAGGTGACCCCCCTAAATACCGCCACCCTCCCTTATCCACGGCTTCGCTTTATGCCGTTTCAGTGACCCCTGGTCCACTGGGGCCCGAAAATATTAAATGGAAAATTCCAGAAACAAACAATTCGTAAGTTTAAATTCGGTGCCATCCTCAGGCCAGAATGGAATCTCAGTGTCCACTCCTTCCCGCCTGATGGGAGCCCACCTGTCAGTGCGTTCACGCCACAGACGCCCCGCCTGCTGGTCCCTCAGCGGCCGCCTTCGTCATCAGATCCCGTCCCAGTCCGCAGGGTCTGTGCTCAAGCGACCCTGGTTTTACTTAATAATGCCACGTGCTCATAACTTCCATTCCAGCAGACTGTTACCACTGTTCTATTTCATTACTAGTTACTGCTGTTAATCTCTGTGCGTAATTTATGAAGTAAACTTTATCATAGTTGTGTACATACAGGAGAAAACATGGTATATACAGGGTCAGTACTACCCGCAAGTTTAGGCACCCACGGGGTCTTAAAATGCATCTCCCGTGAACCAGGCGGCACCGTAAAGGGTGAAGCAGCACAGGACCTGCCGCCCTCCCTCGGGCCAGGTCCTATGTGGACAGCCTGTGACCGTCACACACCCAGAAACAGGCCCTGCATGAGTTTGCAGAGGCCAGTGCCAGCACCCACGGTGCTCCGCCACCCACAGCGCTCCCAGCGTCCTGTCCTGAGCCCCTGCAGCTTCCTGATGACACAGATGCAGGGAGCAGGTGCCGGTGACGGGCAGGACTCAGAGGAGAGGCACAGTCTGGGGCTGGGGAAGGAGGCAGCGCTTTGCAAGGTCAGAGCCTCACTACCTACATTTTTTTCGGACCAAAGGAGGAGCTTGTTGACCCTGAGAGGTGGCGTTCCCCCTCTGCTTCTGGTCCGCTCTGCTCTGGTATTTGCTCCGCAGGCTGGTCGGGTTCCAGCCCCAAGCCCAGTACAAGGAGGCAGAGTGGGCACACGCTGTGTCATTCCTTTCCTGACCTCCCTGTCTCCAGAGCCGGCAAGGCCCAGGGGGTGGGGTGGGCCTTGCATTGTTCTTGCTTCACAGGATCAGGATATGCCAACGTGCACATCAGAAGCAGCAGGCAGCATGGCGAGGACACACACACAGAGACAAATATGGGGACACACACACAGATACACACGGGGATACACACACAGACACACAGATAAACACGGGGACACACACAGATACAGGATACACACACAGATACACACGGGGATACACACACACAGACATAGGGATACACACACAGACACACAGATAAACACGGGACACACACACAGGAACACAGATAAATACGGGGACACACACAGATACGGGGATACACACACACAGACACACAGATAAACACGGGGACACACACACACACCTGCAAGGATGCTTTCTGGCTGAAAAGAGGGTAGAACTCTTTCCTTCGACTTTCCCTGAATGTCCAGTGTCAGAGAGAGGCCAGCTGCTGGGAAGGGAAGGGCAGCACCTCCCACACGGGGTCCCACAGCCTCTCGCCCTAGAGCCAGGCGAGTGCAGGTACGTACCCGGCCTGGGCGCTGTCCCGATACGGCAGCACTGAGAACACGCTGCAGAAGGATCGCCTGCCACTGAGGAGGACGATTCTACAAAATAAAAACAGAAAAAGAACAAACAACAAACAACTAAATGCAAAGACTCTTAAATTTAAAAATCCCCGAGCGACGAAGCGCTCATGGGATTCGCAGCGGCGTCTGCCCCTCCCTCCATTGATGCTGACGCTGCCTCTGATCCCAACGTCAGCCAGCGAGACACCCTGCTCTGCTCGGCGGGTCTGCAAGGAGCGCAGCGAGTCCTCCGTGCGGCCTGCTGGCTGTGGGCTGCACAGGCCAGACGGGCGCAGGGCTGAGCTGGGTGCCCGGTGCTGTGCCCGCAGCCACATTAAACCCCTGGCTCCCACCCTGCAGTTACGGAGCAAGAGCAACGGGCCAGGAACCACGAGCAGGAGAGACACGCAGACGCTTGGCAGGTGTGTCTCCCAGGCTGCGGCACTCGGGCTCTGAGGGTCCATGAAGGAACAAGGACCAGCAGCCTCAGCCCCATCCCCGCTACAGACACTCCTGGAAACGGCTCTACATGACGCTCTTACGCAATCGAAGGGCACGCAGACAGGCATTAGCGAGCTCTCAGCAGCACTTACCCTGGCATCGAGAATAACGTTTGCGAAAGAGAGTGACGGATGGAAACAATGGAGAAACGAGTGGAAATTAAAAAACAACATTCTTTGGCGCCATGGCAACACACATCAGATGCGAAGCTTGTTGGCTTCTGTAATCTTTCCCTTCAGTAACTAATCCTGAAGCCAGCAGAGCAGACAGCACCACAACGGCATCAGATTGGGGGGCTCTGACCTTGTTCACTGGGATATTCCGTGGCTTCCACGCTCGCAAGTCGAGCTTCCCAGCACGGCACGGGCTTGTCTCCTCGCTCTTTCTGCCTCTCTGGCCCTCACACACGGCACCCCCCACACCCCTCACTCACCACAAAGGACTTGCACACCCACCTTCAAGTCCCGCCTTGCACGCCTCTGTCCTTTGCTATTCCTTCTGCCTGTTGTGCCACACGGCACTTGGGGAACTCGTATTTGTCCCTCAACACGGGCTCCGCCGTCCCCTCCCCAGGGACCACTGCCCCTCCCCCAGTTACTCATTCCCCTCTGCGCTGCTTCTGCTCCCGATTTCCTCCTCAGGAGGGTACGGACCCCAGAGCGGCGCACCAGGGGCTGCTCCCCTCTTCCTGCGGTGGGTGCAGCCGTGGCACCTGGCAGCCCCCCCACCCCAACGCCCTGGGAGCACTGAGTCCCCATCACCGGGGACAGGACTGCGGCTGCTCACTGCACAGTGACTCCCTCCACAGTGGCCGATGGGACCCAACAACGTCCCGGCTTCACACACGGGGGCTTCCCTCCGAGCTCCGCGTCCCACATGGAAAGGACAGGAACTGTAACTGCCTTGTTGGAACGTCGCTGCAGCGATGAGAGCTCAGGTCGCCCCAGTCCCTGGAGCCCGTTCCAGGGGGTGGGGGGGAGTTCACCAGCAGAGTCTCAGACTGAGAACCTGCGGTCTGTGCTCCAGACAGACAAAGGACCACACGTGTGGCCTGTCTGTGAACGGACACGCACACAGAGGGCCTCTTCTCTCTCAAGGGGGATTCTCATTGGCTGCCACAGCCCCGAGGCCTGGCCACTTCTACAAGGACCTGGCGTCCACCCGGAGGGGTGGCCAAGGCCTGCAGGCCACACCCCGCTGCTCCCTGGTCCGCTCCGGAGACCCGGCTGCCATGCAGCACTGTGCTGATTTGCTCAAGTAGACGTAATAGCTACTACTCACAAGTGTCTATCAGACGCCAGATCTAAATACTGTAACGAAGGGGGCACAGGAGGTGACACACTCGCGGGTGTGGCTGACCATGGGCCCCATCATCCCCGGTGCCTGAGGCCACGCTCCTCTCTGAGACCAGAAGAGGCTCCTCCTGTGGGCTGGGCTGGGCACCCAAGGGCTCCTCGGACACCCAGTGATCTGCCTTCACCCGGTGTTGAGGGTGTCTTTCAGCCTGGCCTGCAGGTCACCAGGTGGAGCGTGGGGTGGGGACAGAGGGTGACCGACCCCAACAGCAGCTGTGACATCAGGGCTCTGTGTCCCCCGCTCTGCATAGCCTGGGCCCCTGCCCAGATGGGCTGAGAGGGGTTCTGCACCCCCACTCGCTTTCCACCAGGAGAAAAGCCTGGAGCCCCACCCTCTCCCCGTCCACGTGAGGAAGGAAGGCGCTGGACAGACTCGTCTGGCTTAGCGGACGGCATCTCGTCACTCGGGCTAAAGTGCCCTCCTTCCCACACACCGAACTTGTTTGGACATTTTTACTAGAACAAGAGAATGAGAGCGTGTAATGCCTGTGAAACGCGAGCATTCTTTCCGAGGCTGCAGCCACCACGTGCCCGTCAGTAAATGAGCTGCATTGTTCGTTACATGAGAGCTCGCACTGTGTGGTCTGGCCAGGAGGCCTGGGAGCGGCCGACAGCTCGAGTCTCATTCAGAAAAGCATGTTCCTCTAAGCACAGGGCAGGCCCAGCAGCGAGTAGGTGCCTCTCTGGTCCAGCAGCTGGGCTGGGGGAGGCGAGGGAGGACCACACGCCCCTGGGCACGTCCCGTCCTTTCTCGTACCCGCCCACTTTCTCAGGGGCAGAGAAGTCCCACAGGTCTGCAGCGGTTCACGCCCCACAGAGCTGGCCATCGTCACTGCAGCCGCCGAGAACACAGCCCACGTGTGTCCTGAAGTAGCTCTGGGGTCCGGGGGACGGCGAGCTCGTGCCTCTGCTTCCTACAGCGGCAGCTCACGCAGTGACTCTGGAGCCCCACGCGGGGTCCAGACCTGGGGTTCCTGTGAAGGTGCCGATTCGCTCTTTGTGAGCGCCAGGCAGCGTCCGTCCTGCACACACACCAGGACGTCAGACTCGCAGCCCCTACACGCGTGTGCGTTTGCAGAAGCAGATCAGATGCAGTGCAGGATGACATGACAGCCCCGCTCCGTTCCGATGGCCCGATGGGCTTGGGAAACTGGACGCCTCCACGTCTCCCTTCCGGCCACGGGGGCGCCTTCTCTCCTGCACGAGTGGCCTGCGAAGCCCAGTTTCCCGTCTGTGACACGGAGCCGGAGCTGGTCAGGATGAGCAGGAAGTGGTACACGGAAGGGAAGGGCTTCAAAGAGGCACTAAGTCCAGAGAGATGGGCCTTTGAGGGATTAGAGATCACATTCCCATACACAGAGTGTGTCAGCGCGGCAGGCCCATGGCTGGGCTCCCTCGGGTCCAGGGTTTCCCAAACCCTCCAGGAGGCACCCTCTAACTTTCTTCTTCACCAGCCCCTTTTCTGTGCTTAGGAAAGTGTTTCTGGTCTGAGGGAACTTGTGCTTCAGGCCACAAAGCCTGCGTCCCTGGTGAGATGCCGGAGGGCTCGGGACGGCCGACAGAGCCCGTGGCCCACGTGCACTGCATCTGCCTTCAACCCGGCTGCCCGGGGCCCAGTGTCTGAGCAGACGGCGTCCAGGGTCATCCAGGGCTTGTAGGTGTTGCCTCTGAAGCCCCAAACCAGCATCTTGCTCTATTTCTAGACCTCGAGGCATCTCTCTTGGCGTGAGGAGGCCTGAGGTCTGCAGGTGGAATGTTCAGGAGGCAGCAGATTGGTGATTCTCTCTCACTGATGTTTCTCTCTCCCCCCCTCTCCCTTCCTCTCTGAAGTCAATGGGAATGGCTGTGGAGATGGCAGAGGGCAGTCACGAAAAGACGGCTAGCAGCTCCGTGATGACAGCACCACCAGCCAGCATGGCATGCGTAGGCCTGCAAGGCATTTCCCACCTGACTTGTGCCAGCTCGGCGCCCCCGCCCCCTCTCTCCGACGCCCTGTGCAGCCTCACTGACCACGGTGCTGGCCATGCTTCCCTTCATCCGGGCTCTCCCTTTCCCGTGCCCAACTGTGGGCCCCCGTTCCTGCTCCAGGACGTGTCCCGGCCCAGCCCACTCCAAGGCCAGTCTTCTAGGTCCCTCTTCTCTGAGGCGCCTTCCCGCCTCCAGCCCCTGAACTGGAACAGCATGTCCCATGCATCCGCCAATGTGGCAGGGCCCAGAGCAGCTGAGCGGCTGAGGTGCGGGCTGAGCATGCTGGGAAGAAGTGGTTGCAGCCGCTGCCCGTTCCCTGGGGCTGCCCCACAATGCGCCACAACGGGGCGACTTCAACAGCACACTGCGCCCGCCCCGTGCTGGAGCTGCACGTCAGAAACCGAGTGTCTGCAGGGCCACAACCCTCTGAACTCTAACGGCCCCTGCCCCTTCCGGCTGCTGGTGGCGGCCACAGTCCTGGCACCCGCTCCCTGACCCACTCACTCCAGCAGGTCCCCAATCCAGCCTCCCGGCTTCACTGATTCAGGACACCTGGAGGTGGTTCTGACTCGAAGAAGATCCACCCTCCATCGGACCACGGTCCGCCGAGGCTCACTTCCCCTCCACATACCGGGGGTCTGATGTCATGGAGAGAACGGGGTGAACGCGGAGTGAACAAACGGGGTTAACGCGGAGAGAACGGGGTGAACGCGGGGAGAACGGGGTGAACAGGGGGAGGACGGGGTGAACGTGGAGAGGACGGGGTGAACGGGGAGAGAACAGGGTGAATGGGGAGAGGACGGGGTGAACGTGGGGAGAACGGAGTGAACGGGGAGAGGACGGGGTGAACGCGGGGAGAGGACGGGGTGAACGCGGAGAGGACGGGGTGAGAATGGGGTGAACGCGGGGAGGACGGGGTGAACGGGGAGAGAATGGGGTGAACGCGGGGAGAACGGAGTGAACGGGGAGAGGACGGGGTGAACGCGGGGAGAGGACGGGGTGAGAATGGGGTGAACGCGGGGAGGACGGGGTGAACGGGGAGAGGACGGGGTGAACGGGGAGGATGGGGCGAATGGGGAGAGGATGGGGCGAATGGGGAGAGGACGGGGTGAACGGGGAGAGGACGGGGTGAATGGGGAGAGGACGGGGTGAACGGGGAGAACGGGGTGAACGGGGAGAGGACGGGGTGAATGGGGAGAACGGGGTGAACGGGGAGAGGACGGGGTGAACGGGGAGAGGACGGGGTGAACGGGGAGAACGGGGTGAACGGGGAGAGGACGGGGTGAACGGGGAGATGCCGAGGCCCCAGCTGTATCTCCAAGCAGCTGCCCCGACGTTACTGACCACGAGGCTGACGGAGGTGTTTTGTGCTGTTCTCCAGGAGACACGGGATTGTCCTATCACGCCTGGCCTTCAGTTTCTGATCTTTCCCATTTTCTACCTTAAACTGTGCTGAACACTCCGGGCCAGGTCAGGCGTCTTGTCCGAGGACAGCCGCCCTCCCTACCGCCAGCCGCCCTCTGGTCCTGGCGGAGCCGGAGCCTCTGCCCACGGGCAGCAGGTCTGGGGACCGGGGAGCCCCGTCCGGCCTGCAGCCTGAGTCACAGGAGGCGGGAGCTGGGCCCTGAGAGGACAGAGTCGGGCAGGAGCAGGCTCCCTTCTCGGGGGCGGGAGGAGGCGAGCACAGCGGCCCTGAGGCCGTTCTGTTTTCAGTCTAGACCAGTGATGGCGAACCGATGACACGCGTGTCAGAGGTGACACTCGAACTCATTTTTTCTGGTTGATTTTTTTTGTTAAATGCATTTAAATATTTAAAATAAATATCAAAAATATAAATCTTTGTTTTACTATGGTTGCAAAGATCAAAAAATTTCTATATGTGACACGGCACCAGAGTTAAGTTAGGGTTTTCAAAATGCTGGCACGCCGAGCTCAAAAGGTTCGCCATCACTGGACTAGACATTAGTGGCCTTTTGCAAACCAGAAGCTCAAGTGAAGTGGTCTGCCCTGGGACAGTGTCCCTAACTCCCCCGTTCAAGGGAACCACTGCCCAGGTCACAGGGCAGCAGAGGGAGCTGCCCCTAAGGGTGCAGCACCAGGGACCCCGAGCTGCCTTGGGCTCAGGTCCAACACTGGGATGGACGCAGCCCCCGCCTCGCAGATGCGCCAGCAGTGATGCCTCCGATCTACGTGTCACGGGACAGTGTTCATATCAGGGTCGTGCAAATTTTCACTGAATAGCGCTTTCCGACAGGCCCTGTGAAGAAGAGCTGGAGAAACAGGCGCCCAGTGCCAGCAGCCAGGCAGCGCGCCAGTGCCAGGGGCACCCGCGGGCAAGGCCATGGCTCCACGCTCCTGCAGCTCCCCAGCGGCACCAAGACGTGCCCAGCACAAGCCTGGGGGGCATCCGCTGACCAAGGCGCACCGCCCAGGTGAAAACAGAAAACAGCCCAACAGAGCAGAAAAAGAGGGAAAAGACAGAACACGAAATTCAACTGTTACTCTCTTCAAAGATTTCCATGCAAATATATGTGCAGAGTATTAAAGACTCAGTGCAGCCCTGGCCGGGTTGCTCAGTGGATAGGGCCAGTCGGCCTGCGGACCGAAGGGTCCAGGTCGATTCTCCGTCAGGGCACAGGCCAGGGTTGCCGGCTCAGGTCCCCAGAGAGGGCGTGCAGGAGGCAGCCGATCCATGATTCTCCCTCATCATGGATGTTCTATCTCCCTCTCCCTTCCTCTCTGAGATCAATGAAGATATAGTGAAAAATGAAAGACGGCGCGTGGTTAACCTAAACCTCACCAGCCTCTGGGCAGTGTGAGGAAGCACTGCCTTCTACAGACTTCTTGGGACGGTTCTGGCGGGAGGGGGGTGAAAGGTCACGGGAGAGCCTGCGCTTCGCTTGGCCGGGTCCAGCCATCAGGCGTCCCCACGCCCTTCCCCCGGGACCCACCCCTCCTACAACCAGGAGGCCGAGGGCGGCATCTGTGCGTGCGGTACCTGCCGTTCCTCGTGTCGTGTTGCCGCATGTTCTTGATGAAATGGATCTTCTTAAAGGTCTTTGGTCTGGGCGAACCTGAGAGAGTTCGACATCTGAAAAACAAAGTCATTTCAAAAATACAGTCAGTGGCCCCTGGACAGCGGAGCCACCTCCACACAAAGACAGGAAGGAAAGACCAGACAAACGGGGTGAGTCACCCCAGGATAATGAGGACAATATGGCTGGGAGCAAGGAAGCTTAAAAAACACCGAAGACAGACAACTTCCTTGATGATGCTGACAATAGTTTATATGGGCCTCCAAAACGCCAGCTCACGAAAACCATTGTCCTCAGGTACAATGACTCCACCTACCGGTTCCGAAGGCATCAGTCTTTCTTGTCATCTTAAAAAAGAAATCCTCTGTGTCAACGCAGGTAACGGAAACAGAAAACTGTAAATTAAAGGGTTCGGAGGGGAAACAACCCGGGAAGAGTCCGTGTGAAAAACCCTGAGCCGCCTTGTTGTTCGCAGCCCTCTGGCCTGCGCTGCTGCGGCTCGAACGCGGCTCCGCCTGGAGCGTCACTCGAATGAGGATCAGCCCCGGCGAGGGGGCGGCGTCTTCTCCTTTTTGTTTTTAAGATAAATTTTAAATGAATATTTGTTGAACAGAACGACTTGGATTGAAATGATTTTTTCCTGGAATGTACGACACGGGCTTCCATGGGCTGAAAGACCTGACTTGTGTGTGTGTTTTCACAGTTACCGGCGCATTCCAAGCTCCACAGCTGCAACAACACCAAGGAAAGCAAAACACCCCACAAACGAGTCTTTTCTTGGAAAAGGGAGCTGACTGGTCTGATTTGGTTTTTGCTGCCAAATATCGTTGTTCACTTAGACCTTTCTGACCCCAGGGCTGATTCTGCCATTGGGATTGGGGACCCCAGAACGTAGCCTCCGAGAGGAAGTTCCAGGAGCTGTGCCCACTGCCGAAGCCACAGCGAGGTCCGGGCTGGGTCCCCAACCTCAGTCCTGTCTGAACTTTGAGGCTTCAGGGGCAAGAGTAACAAGGTAACTAACAAGCAGGTGGGTGTGGGCAGGCGGGCTCAGGACCGGGGGAGGGGGGGGGGGCGGGTCACAGACCCACAGAGCAACCCAACCTCTAAAATCCCCCAAGGGCCAAGCTCAGGGGAAATGAGGTCCAGACCTCAGGGTGTCCATCCCCCCAGCCCCTTCCCCACCTCTAGGAAGGGCCAGTCTTTCTAGAAGCCTTTCACCAAAGGGCACTGACATTTATTTATTTTCTAAGAAACAGCCCCTTAAAATGTGACTTAGCTTGCAAACAATCACAGCGAAGCCGTGAGTGCCGGCAGAAGCAAAGGAGTGACACCAGGTATGTGGTGACTCTCGAGGAAAAGGGGGTTCCCTTGGGTCTAGTCAGGTCACTGCATCCGAGCAGGGTCCGCAGCCCCGACCCCCACAGTCGTCCCTTCCCTGGCGCTGCTGTGAGGATTCCCGAGACGGCCTGTACAGAGCTTCGCCATCTGTAGGTGGCGCAGGATGCAGTCACATGGAAACATGCACAGCCGTGCATTTGCACGTGGATGCAAATATGCACACACGTCTCAGGTGCCGTGGTTCTTAAGACCAGTGGCCTCAAAGGGTGCACACTTGGTGACCACCCGCCCCCTATGTTGCTGAAAGTGCGTCCTTGTTAAGGGTCCTGAGTTCTTGGTTTTAAATAGATTCTTTCAAAGACCTGCACTGCCTGCCGGAGGGCCTTTAGCAGAGCTTCCTGTGGACTTCAGGGGGAAGCACCCCAAACCCCACTCCCCCTCAGGCTCTAACCCAGGTTCAGTCTCCTGGGGGCTCCTCCTGCCTTCTCGGGCAGCTCTGTGGGGTAGGCCCAGGACCCCCATGGCCTCACTTCTACCCCCAGAAACCAATGCTGGAGTCTGCAAGTCACTCAAGGTCCCCACTGTCGCTCTCACACACAGCAGAGGATTCTAGAAGCTCAGTCCCTGGCGAGGGGGCCTCTGAGAGTGCAAGGACGCTCCCAGGGGATCCTGCACAGGGCGAGGGGTCAGTTGTGCCTCACACCCTCCCCCGCCTTCCCCACTGGAGAGCTTCCTCAGCCGGCCAGTCCAGGACAGTGGCCACAGCAAAGTGAGCAGGACTGTGAGCACTTTCCCATCCTGCCCCAAGGGCCGGAAGCCCGACTCAGTCCGAGGCCCGAGGAGGAACCCCGGCTGCTCCCCACCTCTGGGCCTGCAGAGAGGGCTGCAGGTCGGGGGACACAGCCCCACAGGCCTCTGCAGGAACTGGGAGTCATCGGTGGCTGTCAGCACCAGCAGGGGAAGGAGGAGGTGCACCAGCCAGCCCCCACCGATCCAGACAGGCTGGAAACTGGGGCGGCAGTGGCTGCCACGTGTGCGCAGGTAAACGAGGTTTTTCTGGACACCTAGGGAGTCCTGGGTTCTTATTTCTAGGACACTCGGTAACCACCAGGCCAGAGGAAACCCCCTCCTAGTAAATGCTCAATTCTTGGAAACTTACTGACACACTGGGATGCACAAGAGAAAAGCAAGGCTTTCAAAAGGAGAACTTAACAAAGGTGCTTTATGCGGCTCTCAGCGCCCGATCCTAGCTGCCTGGGCTCCCTGTCAAGGAGCAGTGTGTTGTCCTGCGTCTTTTAAGCATTCAACTCCACCCCCAGGGAGCCTGAGGACACCCTAGGGAATCGTGGCGTTAGCAACCATTGCCAAGGAAACCGGAAGACTGAGCACGTGTTGTGGCAGGGTGGGCAAAGAATGAATTAATTTTGAAACCGCCTGAATTAACATGTAAATATCCATTTTAAAACATACACTTTAAGTGACACAAAATTAAATTAGGGTAGGATTAAATTAAAAACTAATTTAATGAAAGATTAGCTCTTTCTTGTTAGCACTGATTATAGGACACACGTAATTATGCAAAAGGTTTTTAATAGATGCCTTGGAGCCACTTGTTCAATGTGCTGAGTTTAAAAGCAAGTTGGGCATTAGCATTCCACCCCCAGTTCCCCCAAAACTTCAGTGCCATTAATGATACATTCATTTCACAGAACCCGGGAGCTGGGAAGGACCTCAGCGATCAGCCCCTTGTCCCTCCCGCGTTACAGATGGGAAGACTGAGGCCCCAGCGGAGCTAAGGGAACTTCCAAGGCCATGTGACCGGTTTGTAGAAGAATCCGGTCAAGCCCTCAAATCCCCTGACTCCCAACCTCAGGTCCCCTCCTGCTGTGCCATGCTGATGCTATTTCCTAGGAACAAGTATATTTCTAAGAAAAAAATTTTAATTAAGAAAGAAGTCAAGGGGAAAATGAAGACTTCTTAAACTGCCTCGATTCCCTTATTTCTGACTGATGGTTAAATATTGGATTTGAACAAGATTTGCCGGGAATTCAGCAGTTTCTGGAAGAGCTGAGGAAGACACCCAGTCTCACTCTGCCTGTGTTGCCACCAGGGCACAAGGGCAGAGCAGGCTCAGCCTGGGCCAATTCTGAGAGGGGCAGGGTGACGGGCGTGTGACCAGGAGCGCGTGCCCAGTGCCTCCTCAGCCCCTTAACCACCTGGGCCCCTAAAGGGGAGCGACGTCTTCCCACAGGCCCCCCTTGGCGCACGGCCATAGGCACCCTGACCACGAGCTTCTCGGGCCCTGGGGACACCAGGCTGCCAGCTCCGCACACTGGTTTCCCGTGTGTGGCACCTGCTCACAGCACCGCCCCCCTCGCTGATCACCTGGGCCAGCGCCCGCCCCCACGGACTTTAGTGCAGCTTCTGCAGCTCTCCCTCCAGGAAGCAGCCCTTCTCCCAACACTGACAGCAGCCAGGACGGAAGGGCACTGGCACCGCGCCTCGTTGTCCCGCAGCGACACGCACTCACCTGGGACGGGCCCCGAGTCACAACCGTTTCAAAAGCGGAAACTGAACTGTCAGCCCCGCTGTCTCTTTGGAATAAAGTCAATGATGAGACTCAGGGCATCTGACACGTTCAACCCTACACAGGCCTGTCCATGCTCCACCCTCCACCCGGTGGTCTGTGCACAAGACCCAGGACCTGGGGGGAGAATCTGGGCCCGGAAGGAGCCGGCTTCAGGGTGAGCTGCCTCCCTCCACATGAGCACCTCCCAGGCCCAAAGGGAAGGGCCCGGGACGCCCCAATCCTGAGCCACGGCCCGACCCATGGGTGCAGGTATGGGTTCCCGGAGGAGCGGGTGCAGCTGAGGGCACATCCTCCGCAGGCTCCCCTGCCGCTGCCACGTGTGCCCTGTCGGCCAGAGCCCAGCTCACTCAGCTCCTTCTGCAGGAGCAGCCCCCACGGGCCACCGGCTGGGCGGCAGTGAGTGCTGCCTCCTCCAGGAGGCCTGGCTGGCCCGCGGTGCGGACGGGGCAGCAGAGGGGGCTAGAGGAGGCACGGCACAGCTCAGCACTGCAGCCACCCAAAAAGGTGCCGCAAGCACTTCTGTCATCTCCAGGGAGGGAGGGAGGGACCAGCCCCAGGGAGCAGGCTCAGCTCCCCTCACGCATTGCCCAGCACCTGGCCGCACAGGGCACCGCGGGCACCGCCAAGCGAGCCTGTGTCTGCTGCGTCACATGGCACCTGGACGGGGGCCAGGCTGGGCTGTCTTCATCGCCAGCAGCTTTCACAGGGAAGGGAGAAGGGCCCTACACTGTTCTCCTGGTCCTCAGGGCAGGAGTGTCCAAACTATGACCCTGGGGCTTAGACGTCATTTTAAACACTTAATTCTGCAGATCAGGAGTTTTAACTGTGGCTGTGACCTTGCCCAGCGAGCCATTTACACACAGAAACGCCAGCCGGACACTCACCTCCGCAGGGGGGCGTTCTCCTCAATGTCTTCCAGCGTCTCCAGCGAGGACCTCTGGGAGAGGAGCCGGCGTCTGCGGAGAGAAGGGAGAAGCCTGGGTGTTTAAACTGCCTGTGAAAGGGACCGGGCGCTCTGTACGTCGAAAGCTGTTCTAAGAAAGAAAGTCCAATAAAGTCCAAAGAGATCAGATAGCAGCTTCTTTACGAGGCCACGTGCTCCCAGCCGCACCCTGAAGGCCGGGCCCAGCTTGCTGTCCATCCAGGGCTGCTTTGCAATTAGGGAAGGGACTGCTCCCTTTTATGCTGCAATTTTCCCCAAAGACCAAAAATGACAAGGTGGCTTTTCCACTGTGCACTCGGCACCGAGCGTCAGACAACGCTGCTGCGTGCTGCGTGTTCGGATATTAGTCGTCTGTACAGGCTGCCTGATGAATATCACACTTCAAAACCCTGTTAAATACAGTCGCAATCCGGATGCAATAACATCACTAGGAGCAATAAAGAAGTGATGGTCTCTGACGGCCATGACTTCAAAAGCAGTTAGAGACCAGGATGACCTCACTCCCGGGGGGAGTCTCTCAGAGACCAGTGAGGACAACACATTTCCTCCTTCCCATTGCTAAAGAACTGCAAACCGCCTGCCACACCTCCTCAACCAGGTAACTGAGACTCCCTGGGATGGGGATGGGGATGGGGTGGGGGGGCCGGAATGTCACAGCAAATCCACCTGCAGGAGGACATCATTTCCCAGGAAGTGTCTGGCTGAGGGGGTAGGAAGAGTCTGAATGGGTCTCTCTTCACCTTGGAAAACACGGGACTAGAATTAGAGGGATAATTCTATGTTGTATTACAGTTGACACAACTTAGATGAGAATATGCCATTATAACTACGTTCAACTTTGTTCTAAAGAACAAAACAATATCAAATGAGACACTCAGAAAGCTCATTTCTGCAAACCATTTAAGGGCGCCATCAACTTTCTAAGAGCCTTTTCTCATCTGTAATGTTCCCGTGCTCCCTAAAATGCTCGTCCCACACCCCCTCCTCCATCGCTGAGCTGCCTGACTTGTGGGTGTGTGAGAACCAAGAGTCCTCAGACACAGGGACCTTCTGCACGGCCTGACGCTCAGCTCTGCTATGACTCACAAGGAACCATGTCGGCAACGCTGCCCGATGCCCAACAGTCAACCAGACGGGAGGCCAGGGCTCCGGGAGACACTGGTTTTGCCTGCAAAGGTGCGGAGGGGCCTGAGGGACGGGAGCTAATTTTATAGGTGCCGACTCGCCAGTCCCCGGGGCTTGTCTGTGCAGCCCTGCAACTTGGGGCGCAGCTCATGGGACCCTAGGACAACACCTCGCGGCTGTGACTCTGAAGCGTCCAGGCCACAGCTGAGGCGCGGCTGCTCCCAGTCCTCGCCCAGGCTGGTCTGAAGCCCCAGAGGGACAGGCCGACGCCCAGCAGGTCACACCCCTCCTGCCAGGCCGCGTCGCCTCAAAGGGCAGGACAGTTCCACAAGGAGCGCGCGTGCCGTCAGCCATGCATGTCAGTCCTGGGGTTGGAGGCTTTGGAGCTTAGCAAATGCCTTCATCCTGGAGCCTCAGTGTCCTCGTCCATGAAACGGGAAAGTGAGAGTAGGAAGCAGAGGCTCAGGAGTGCTCCACGCAGGGCAGCTGCTAACATGCAGCTACGGGGTTTCTGACGGACACTCGTTTCCTCCACTGGAGATGCACCCTGACCTGCCTTCCCCTCAAACGACCAGGATCGGGGGGCTGTCCTAGCCCTGCCCCCGCCCCCCCAGTCCCAGTCAGGGGCAGGGTCACCCCAAAAGGCCTTGTGCCTGAGCGTCCCTGGGACCCTGCTCCTTCTACGTGTGTACACCTCTAGGCATAACTAACTCCTGGGTCACCTTTGCTGACGCACTGGCCAACTACAAGATTAGCCCCTCCCCACCCCGACTGCTCCTTTAAATTGGGCGACGTGCTTCCCTTTCTCGAGAGGAACTAGCAGCGTTTTCTCCGAGATGCAGAGCTTGGGAAGGACCACCACTGGCTGTTACCAAGAAACCGTCACCGGGCACCATGGAGACGGACGCGGGGCTGCCCTTGCTGCGTAAACAGGGGCTTGTTCGCTGCCTCGAGGGCCTGCCCGTGGTGGTAGCACAGGGAGCCCTCTGCCCTCTGCCCTCTGCCCCCTGCCAGGCCCTCCCAAGCAATGCAGCAACCTCTCCCCTTGCTCCCGTCCTCAGAAAGCCCGCCATGGAAGGAAGGCTAAGGGCAGGCGCCAACCCTCACCAGGCACTTTCCACCCACAACGTGCCTCATACACGAAGCCCAGTGCCAGGCAGACTCCTTATCACCAGGTACAGCCAACAAGCAAGGTCTGCGTATTGTAATGACGGACGATACCTGGTCTTGGACCACAGTGTCCTGCCCCTTATGAACCCACAGACGCCAGTGAGAGGCTGACAGACAAAACACAGCATCAGGTGCCACGTCACCAAGGGGAAGCGTCTGTGTCTGGTCCTCAGAGCGAGTCCTCAGGTTCCATCTTGTCTGACAATGACACCCTGGCCCCTCCTCCCGGCTGTAAGCACATTGAGGCCATGTGGTTCCCAGGCAGCACCCACAGGGAAGGCGACCTCCCTAAAGCCCAGATCCTTCTGGAACCTTGTTCTTGCTCCACTCGGCCTGAGCGAGGGCATCGTCAGCCAGGACGAGGCTGTGCACCTGGTGAGCACACTCACACCCAATGAATCCGCATCGTCAGGGCTAACGGTGCATGTGAGTCAAGTCCCGGCCCGGCCCTGGGCCCCTCACAGTGGAGGCAGAATAAACCCACCGCACGGAAGGTAAGGAGCCACTGGGAGGAGCAGAGGAACCAGCAGGAACACGTAGGCTGGAGAGAGGACGCGGCGAGGCAGGACCCAGTGCAGTCTCTCCAGTGTCATTTAGCACAAAACTGTCACTGACTCCACTTTGGGGGCAGGAGCGTGACCCATCACCCCACTGACCACCCACCACCCCACTGACCACCCACCCACACTGACCACCCACCCACACTGACCAGCCACCCCACTGACCACCCGCCCACACTGACCACCCACCCACACTGACCACCCACCCCACTGACCACCCGCCCACACTGACCACCCACCCACACTGATGACTGGGAGCAAACAGCCCACGGCCTGGTCTGAGCTCTGCCATCGTCCCGATGGACAGCATCCTGGGGACCCAGGAGAGTGAGGGGGAGGTGGGAGCGGGGCTCAGGGCGCCTCCATCAGCGTCTGGAGAGAAGGGCATCTCCTCTTGGCCTGGTGGGCAGAGCACCTGGGAGAGAGGGCTGGCATGGCAGGACTCTGGGCTCACTGCTGTCCCTGCTGACCGGTGAGGCCAGGACAGGGTGACCATGGCCCACCAGTGCCAGCTCATCATGGCTGATCCCCTTGTGGGGTAACCTGGGCAGCAGTTTAGCCCAGAGACCAATGTGAGTTTGTGGGCACCACAGGGGCCGACTCCAGACTAAGAGGTAGGACCGTACGGCGAGGAGGGCGGCCCTGGCCTCAGTGTCAAGGAGGAGGTTTAACTGGGTCCACACGCTCCCCCTGGTGCATCCGGAACCCCAGGGAGCGTTAACATCTCTGGAGGCAAAACAAATTCTGAGGGCAGAACCCCAGGCCAAGGGGGCGACCATCGCTCCCACCTCCCTCCTCACAGGAGGCCATGCCCACGTGGCTCTCAAGCCCCAACCTCCGGCAGGGCCCCTCGGCTGTCAGACGGGCCACAGTGGGGGGAAGCAAGGGCTTCACGCCCCTCGATCACACAGGTGACGGGAGCTGGGTAATGATGACCTCGGTTCGTCCAGACAGTTATTACGACAAAAACCCCAACCATGGAAATAACTTACTCACAGTCACGTGACACCCCACACTTGTAATTTATTTGCTTGGTCACTGTGTCTGTCTCCCACTGACCTTCTCCCGCCCTCGACGGACTGAACCACACCAGACGGTCAGCTGCTCCTGGAGGGACACCGTGCCTGCCTCACCTGTCGCCCAGGGAGGGAGCCTCTCAGCAAAGGGCAGGCTGAGGACTCCGGGGCTCCTGTGTTGGGGGGCAGGCGTCTGTGATTCCCCAGAGACCTCCGACCTCCACGCGACAGCTTTCTGCACACGCTGCCCCGGGGCCTGCCCGTCCACATACAGGCTCCCAGCCCGTCACCAGAAGCCTGAGGTTGCCCTCAGAAAGCCTCCCAGCCCCTCACTACAAGCAGGACAGGGAGGCAGATACCGTGCAGCGGGTGGGGGACGGACAGCCCCCCCAGGCACAGCTGTGCAGTTCACAGGGATGAGGCGGGATCTGTTTAAAATGCATTTCTTCTGTTTAAGATTATTCAATGTTCATTTTTCCAAATGGAATTTTATATGCCTCACTTTTAAAAAATTCAAACCAGGCCCGGCTGGTGTGGCTCAGTGGTTGAGCACTGACCTATGAACCAGGAGGTCATGGTTCAATTCCCCAGTCAGCGCACAGGCCCGGGTTGCGGCTCAATCCCCAGTAGGGGGCGTGCAGGAGGCAGCTGATCAATGATTCTCTCTCATCATTGATGCTTCTATCTCCCTCTCCCTCTTCCTTCCTCTCTGAAATATATATATTAAAATCAACATTTAAAAAAAAATCAAACCAGGAAATGCATAAGGTAGAAACTGAGGGTGTTCGCAGCCGCCGTCGCTCTCCAACGCCTGCCTGCCTCCAGCTCGCCGAGCTCTAGCCGAAGGAGAAGGGGGTAAGTACAGAGGTCTCTGCGCCATGGCTCCTACCAAGCAGACTGCCCGCAAGCGACTGGGGCAAAGCGCAGCGGAAGCAGCTGGCTACCAAAGCCGCCCGGAAGGGTGCGCCCTCCACCGGAGGGTGAAGAAGCCGCATCGTTACAGGCCTGGCACCGGGCACTTCGTGAAATCAGACGTTATCAGAAGTCCACTGAGCTTCTCATTCACAAACTTCCCTTCCAGCCTCTGGTGCGAGAAATTGCTCAGGACTTCAACACAGACCTGCGCTTCCCAAGTGCAGCAA